ATTTTTTAGTAATTTCATAAAAACTACTGAATGCAGAATTTTTACTTGAAATAATTTTGATTAATAATTTTGACTCTATAGAAAGATATGTAGGGTACATGTATAAAGCAATGAGACAGCAAACCAACAACACAACTAAACTTAAAAGGACATTAAAATATGGTCTTCAAAAATAGACAAGTGTCTCATACCCTTTTCATTCTCTAAATTGTCCTGAGTCATTACAAGTTGTAAAAAAAATCAACGTACCAATATAAATTAAAAATTTAAAAATACCATTCAAACTTACTGAATAATGGAATGATTTGATCTTCATACTGAGCAACATCTAAAACCCCATAAATACCATAGGTGATTCATTTGAAAATCCCTCTTTCTGGCATTTAGTGAATAATTGTGAAACAAAGGGTTTGTGGGTTATTGAATACATATCAGAGATAGACGCATACATTTAAAGCATTCACTATAAAAAACTAGAGGCTCTCTAGAGCCTGTGTCGTTCACCTGTATTTACTGATGCTTTGGAAATCATGTAAAATAAGGTTAAAATCATAATTAATAGTATTAGATATTAGATATTATAATGATGTCTAAGATAATAACAAAAAACTGCAAAATTTTTGTAAAATTACTAACTCAGGGGCAGCAACCCAACAATAGGTTGTCGCATTCGTCTGAAAATTTTAGGGCAGATAAATCTAAATCTGATGAACATTTTTGCCACCTGTCAGATTTGCTCTAAATGCTTTAGTTTCAGAGATATAAACCAATAAAATGCTCCGCTGTGCGCAGCTTGATACGACCGCAGAGGTCGAACCCTGAACAGTTGGGGCAAGTATGGACACAACATTCAAGCTTGATACAGCACTGAATTTCGATTGTGATTAAATATTTGACACAGCATAGGTTTCTGACACATATCAAACCATATCATTATTATTTGCTTTTATATATAAATCAGATAAAAACCAATTTAAAATGGAAAATTTTAAAGAATCCCCCCCCCCCCCCCCCCAATTTTTTGAACCCCTTATGATTCGTCACCCCGAAACTCAATCCCAGCCTCCCCTTTGTGGAATGGTACAATGTACCTTGCAGTACAATTTCATAGAGATCCATACATTTGAACACAAGTTATTGTCTGGAAACTAGAAAAATGCTTTTTTTTTGGCCCCAAATTCCTAAACGTTTAGGGCAACTACCCCCAAACTCAAACCCCATCTTTCCCTTTGTGATATGGAACCTTGTAGTACAATTTCATAAAGATCCATACACTAACACACAAGTTATTGTCTTGAAACTAGAAAAATGCTTGTTTTTTGCCCCTAATTCCTAAAATTTTGAGGCAATTACCCCCAAAATCAATCCCAGCCTTCCCTTTGTGATATGGTACCTTGCAGTACAATTTCAGAGAGATCCGTACACTTGAACACAAGTTATTGTCTGGAAAATAGAAACATGCTTGTTTTTGGCCCCTTTTTGACCCAAAATTCCAAAACATTTAGGGCAATTACCTTCAAACTCAATTCCAGCTTTCCCTTTGTGATATGGAACCTTAGTTAGTACAATTTCAGAAAGATCCATACACTTACACACAAGTTATTGTCATGAAACTAGAAAAATGCTTGTTTTTGCCCCCTTTTTGGCCACCAATTCCTCAAATTCTGAGGCAATTACCCCTAAATCAATCCCAGCATTCCCTTTGTGATATGGAACCTTGTGGTACAATGTCAGAGAAATCCATACACTAACACACAAGTTATGTCTGGAAGTTACAATAAAATGCTCCGCAGGGCGCAGCTTGATACGACCGCAGAGGTCGAACCCTGAACAGTTGGGGGAAGTATGGACACAACATTCAAGCTTGATACAGCTTTGGATTTGGATTGTGATTAAATATTTGACACAGCATAGGTTTCTAACACAGATTGAATGTGGTCTAAGAACTTAAAAATGTTAAATTGGACATTCACCTATTATGGTCCAATATCCAAAATCTAAATACTTGGTTAGATTCAGCATATCAAAGAACCCCAAGAATTCAATTTTTGATGAAATCAAACAAAGTTTAATTTTGGACCCTTTTGACCTCAATGTGGACAAAGTTGATAACGGGGCCCAAAAATCAAAAATCTAAATACATGGTTAGATTCAGCATATCAAAGAACCCCATATATTCAATTTTTGTTGAAATCAAACAAAGTTTAATTTTGGACCCCGATTTGGACCAACTTGAAAACTGGGCCCATAATCAAAAATCTAAATACATGTTTAGATTCAGCATATCAAAGAACCCTAAGAATTCAATTTTTGTTAAAATCAAACTAAGTTTAATTTTGGACCCTTTGGACCTTAATGTAGACCAATTTGAAAACGGAACCAAAAATTAAGAATCTAAATACACGGTTAGAATCGGCATATCAAAGAACCCCAATAATTCAATTTTTGATGAAATCAAACAAAGTTTAATTTTGGACCCTTTTGACCCCAATGTGGACAAAGTTGATAACGGGGCCCAAAAATCAAAAATCTAAATACATGGTTAGATTCAGCATATCAAAGAACCCCATATATTCAATTTTTGTTGAAATCAAACAAAGTTTAATTTTGGACCCCGATTTGGACCAACTTGAAAACTGGGCCCATAATCAAAAATCTAAATACATGTTTAGATTCAGCATATCAAAGAACCCTAAGAATTCAATTTTTGTTAAAATCAAACTAAGTTTAATTTTGGACCCTTTGGACCTTAATGTAGACCAATTTGAAAACGGAACCAAAATTTAAGAATCTAAATACACAGTTAGATTCGGCATATCAAAGAACCCCAATAATTCAATTTTTGATGAAATCAAACAAAGTTTAATTTTGGACCCTTTGGACCTCAATGTGGACCAATTTAAAAACGGGGCCCAAAATCCAAAAACTAAATACACGGTTAGATTCAGCATATTAAAGAACCCCATGAAATCAAGAATAAAACCCCATTGAAATTGGTCAAGAAATAAGCAATTTATAGGAAGTATCTTCTTTTGCACAATCCTGTGCTATTAAATATTTCTTGCTATTGCGCAATACTGTACAATTGACAATTTCTTGCTATTGCGCAATATTGTGCTATTGGATATTTCTTGCTATTGCGCAATACTGTGCAATTGAAGATTTCTTGCTATTGCGCAATACTGTGCAATTGAAGATTTCTTGCTATTGTGCAATACTGTGCAATTGAAAATTTCTTGCTATTGCACAATACTTATTATATAATAATTTACACATCCTGTTTGGTGTGTATCTCCTACCATATCATTATTATTTGATTTTAAATATAAATCAGAAATAACCAACTTAAAATGGAAAATTTTAAAAGAAACAAAAAAGGAAAAAAAGAAAAAAAAGGAAAAAAAAATAAATCCCCCCCCAAAATTTTTTGAACCCCCATTATGATTCATCACCCCCAAACTCAATCCCAGCCTTCCCTTTGTGGTATGGTACCTTGCAGTACAATTTCAGAGAGATCCATACACTTGAACACAAGTTATTGTCTGGAAACTAGAAAAAAAATTGTTTTTTGGCCCCTTTTTGGCCCCAAATTCCTAAACGTTTAGGGCAATTACCCCCAAACTCAAACCCAGCTTTCCCTTTGTGATATGGAACCTTGTAGTACAATTTCAGAAAGATCCATACACTTACACACAAGTTATTGTCATGAAACTAGAAAAATGCTTGTTTTTTGCCCCTTTTTTGGCCCCTAATTCCTAAAATTTGGAGGCAATTACCCCCAAAATCAATCCCAGCATTCCTTTAGTGATATGGAACCTTGTGGTACAATGTCAGAGAGATCCATACACTAACACACAAGTTATGTCTGGAAGTTACAAAAATGCTTATTTTTGGCCCCTTTTTGGCCCCTTATTCCTTTACTGTTATTACCATAACCCCCAAAATCAATCCCAACCTTCCTTTTGTGGTATTGAACCTTGTGGTAAAATTTCATAAAGATCCATTCACTTAAACTAAAGTTAGAGTGCGAAAACCAATGTGTCTTCGGACGACGCCGGACGACGCCGGACGACGACGACGACGACGACGACAACGACGACGACGCCGACGCCGGACGACGACGACGCCAACGTCATACCAATATACGACCACAAAAATTTTTTTGCGGTCGTATAAAAACTGCATTTTACCCCTATGTTCTATTTTTAACCAAGTCGGCCATGATGGTTGGAAGGCGGGGTCATCGGACAAATTTTTAAAACTAGATACCCTAATAATGATTATGGCCAAGTATGGTTAAATTTGTCTCAGTAGTTTCAGAGAAGAAGAGTTTTGTAAAAGATTACAAAAATTTGTTAAAAATTGACTATTAAGGGCAATAACTCCTAAAGGGGTCGACTGACAATTTTGGTCATGACAACTTATTTGTAGATCTTACTTTGCTGAACATTATTGCTGTTTACAGTTTATCTCTGTCTATAATAACATTCAAGATAATAACCAAAAACTGCAAAATTTCCTTAAAATTACCAATTCAGGGGCAGCAACCCAACAACAGGTTGTCAGATTTGTCTGAAAATTTCAGGGCAGATAGATCTTGACCTGATAATCAGTTTTACTCTTTGTCAGATTTACTCTAAATGCTTTGGTTTCAGAGATATAAGCCAAAGTCTACATTTTACCCCTATGTTCTATTTGTAGCCATGGGGGCCATCTTGGTTGGTTGGCGGGGTCATCAGACACATTTTTTAAACTAGATACCCTAATGATGATTGTGGCCAAGTTTGGTTAAATTTGGCCCAGTGGTTTCAGAGGAGAAGATTTTTGTAAAAAGCTAACGACGACGGTTGACTACGACGGATGCCAAGTGATGAGGGCCAGGTGAGCTTATAAGTAGCAAGAGTAGTCATTAACTGAAATATGCTATGAACTACAGTCATATATACATGTACCAACCAATTTTAAATGTATTGATCTTTATTCTAAGGTAAAATACCTACCTTTTATACCAACCAAAGAGATATAATGATTTCTGCCTACACTACTCCAGGCAATGCAGATTGGCTTGTTAAAACTTCCATCTTTACTTTTACATTCCTCAGGCTTTATAAGTCCCGGTAAAAATACAGCTGTAAAAAGAAAATGACAAGAGCTTGACATACTAGGAAAACATTTTATTACAATGTATTAATTTTAACTAGTGAACTTTCAATACCTTAATATATGTGTAAACTATCATACATTGTACATGTAGATAAATAAAATCTTTTCACATATATTGTTAAAACATCTGATCAATGCAGAATATTTTGTTATCATGGTTATAGCAACTTCCTTTTCAAACATAAAAATTAATAAAAATGCAGGTTTCGTATGTCCCCCATCGCAGCATATATTTTATGTCCAAGGACATTAACTCAAATAATTTTCCATTTTCATTGATTTTGAGTTCAAAGGTTATTCAGGTTTCCAAGACATTGCTCATATACAAAGTACACCTTTGAAATAAATTTCACAAAAATCCAACAAGAAATGTAGGCATGAGAGCTCTTACAATTTGAACACATAAACACACAGACCTTCTTTGTATGTTGCCTGCTCCATGTTGTCCCAAGGACAAAAACTTCTTTAAAGATATGAATGAAGGAAATTTTTCATAAACTAAATATATTTTGTGTAACTTCATTTGTCATTGTATTTGTTGATGAATGATTATTTTGCAATGTTAAATGATTTGACATTTACAATGTTTTTCTAAACTTATTAACCCTATTCATGAAAAATTTACAGCATAATGGACTTCAATACAGATAAATGTAACATTTTCCATGGAATATTTTATAATCATTCCTCTCTCATGAAAAATGTCCCATTTTCCACTTTTCATATTACGTGTTCATCACGATATTGCCTTTGCACTAGATAATAACTGTTGTGCCGTTTTGCTCATGCTCGATCTATCAGCCGCCTTTGATACCATCGACCATCAAATTCTTTTTGATCGTTTGGAATATTCCTTTGGCGTTACCAGAGATGCTTTGCTATGGTTACAATCGTATCTTATGAACAGGACTCAACGTATTGCTATAGGATCAGTACAATCTGACGATGTAAAACTCGATTTTGGTGTACCACAGGGCTCGGTTTTAGGGCCGAAACTGTATTGTATTTTTGCAAAACCAGTAGGTGAAATTTGTAGGCGCCTTGGAATGTCATACCATTCCTACTCAGACGATACTCAGGTTTATCAAATCATAAGACCGCAAGGAGACTGGTGCGATCTGTCCAAATGCCTAGAAAAATGTTTGTCTGATATTGGTGATTGGATGAGTGTCAACATGCTGAAACTTAATGAAGACAAAACAGAATTAATCATTTTTGCACCAAAACATCAATTGAAGCATCTTTCCGATTTCCGTCTGACATTTGATGGAACTGTGTTAAGCGACGTTTCTTGTGTGAAAAAATCTGGGAATGTAATTTGATAAAACCATCAGCATGGAACATCACGCCAGTGCGATCACTAAGGCTTGTTTCTACCAAATTCAGAATATTGGTCAAATTTGATCTTTAATTTCAGTAGAATTCTGTAAAACACTAGTATGCTCCCTAGTTACATCAAGGCTGGACTATGGCAATGCATTGTTGTACGGTACTAACACCAACATTATCAGTAAGTTACAGCGGGTCCAAAATACAGCAGCACTTTTGATTACACGAAAAAAGAAATTTGACTCAATTACGCCTGTTCTAATATCGTTACACTGGCTAACCATACATTACCGTTGCCAATATAAACTTCTTTTATATGTGTACAAAGCCCAGAATGGCAAGGCTCCTAGCTACCTTCAAGATTTAATTACGCCTTACAAACCCAGTAGATCCCTCAGGTCGGAAAATTGTATACCCTTACATCCTCCGAATGACAAGGCTGCACCTACACCCTGGAACAGTTTGCCATCGTCCTTGCGGAGTGTAAATTCTTTGGATGTTTTTAAAAAGCAACTCAAGACTCACTTATTTCGAACTGCTTTTAAGGATTTCTTGTAGATTTTATATACTTTAAATTGACTGCATTAGTTTTAGACTGTTTTTTGTATATTTTAGGGTACATGCATTTTTCATTTTTAGTATACAGTCCGCCAAAAGTTAAGCATCACCTAAATATAACTGGCAATATTTCTGTAACTATTGCGAAAAAAATATTTATGTTTGGTGTTATGAATTGCCTATAACATACACTAAGAAAATTCATAACGACCAAAAAAATAAACTCCGATAAACACGCCAAGCAATTTTTTATTAAAGGTCATCTGCACTTTTTCGAATACACTGTTTCGATGCCTTTAAATCATCTTCCTGCTGTCCCGCGTACAGGTGAAATTTTACCTTCACTGTGAAATATGGCAAGGGGTAAGTTATATGTGACTGAACCTTGACAAGCAATTGACATGTCAAATGCCGGTAGGAGCACTAGTTGCATAGGTAACCATTTCAATGTTAAACACACCGTCAATGTCAAATTTTTACAACGTCATGTTGACACAGGAACTGTAAATGATAGACCAAGGTCCAGAAGACCCCGTTTAACTACCGATCGTGATGACAGCTTTCTTATTGGTTGTGCAAAAGCCAACCCATTTACTCCTGCCCCACAACTTAGACACCACTGGCGTCAAGGTGGTCATGTTAGTGTTCGAACATTGGTCCGTCGACTTCATAGATGCTACCTAAGAGCATGTCGTGTTGTCAAGAGACCTGCCCTAGCAGCCAGGCACCGTATAATCAGGTTTCAAAGGGCTAATAACCATTGACACTGGAACATGAGAAGCTGGCAAAATGTTCATTGGTTAAATGAGAGTCAGTTTCTGTTACGACCAATAGACGGCAGAGTACGAGTTTGTCGTGGAAATAAAACTGCTAATGACCAAAACAACATTTGCCCAACGACTGCATACGTTGCTGGTGGTGTTACAGTATGGGGTTTCTTCTCATACTGTTGTAAGGTGGGTATGCATATTCTGCAGGGTAACATGAACGGACAGACATACAGGGATTTGGTGCTTAGAAACATTGTAGTCCCTCATTTTGATAATCCTCCACTTGCTTCAAGACCCTTGTGCATGTACGACAATGCTAGACCACACAGGGCAAGGATTGTAACCGAGTACAAAGAGTACAAAGAGCAAGAAGCCATTGACACTATCTTTTGGCTTTCCATGTCTCCAGACATGAACCCTATCGAACATGTCTGGGATGCCATTGGCAGAAATCTCAATCGCAGAGATCCACCTTTGCAAAATTTTTGAGATTTAAGAAGCCCAATTGTTGCTGAATGGAATAAATTTGCTCAACTAAAGTTCAGAAGGCTTGTACTGAGTATGAGACTCCGTGTTATGGAACTGTACCGGAAGAGAGGGGGTTACACATATCCTATTGACTCAAATATTGACATTAAATTTGCCGAACATACCAAAGATTATTTGTAGAGACTTTTAATGATATTGGGTGATTAATTGTTGTAAAAAAACAAAATCACAGTGAAACTTAAATTCTGTTTCTGATTTGTGTAATTTTCACTATTTCTATGAACGCAAAATTTCAAATGCATAGAACCTGCATACGTGAACAAAATTAAGTCTACGGTTTGTTTATGGTATATGTTAGCAAAATTGCTACATGAATATTTTCTCTTTTTCGAGGATTAACTGATTTTTTTAAATGAAAAAAATGTCGATGCAATAAAAATAGGTGGTGCTTAACTTTTGGCGGACTGTATATTTTATTAATTTTTATATGCTTGTTTGATTCTTGTAAGTTGGTGCTTTGTAATTTATGTTTTATGTATTTTTGTATTTTATTTATTTTCAAATGTGAAGCGCTTAGAGTAATTGTTGTTATTATATAATGCGCTGTATGAATATTGTATTTATAATTGTATTTATAAAAGTGGAAAATGGGACATTTTTCATGAGATGATATGGATTTTTTAGGACCACAACTATTTTATTCAAAAGGGTCTACTTCATATTCATCTTACCTGAATAGTCCCCACTGCTCTGCATTCCTTCTATAGAGTCTAACAATATAATTGGTCTTCTCAGTACATTAGCCAATCCAAACACATGTATGTTCCTTAAACCTAGAGGTTCACCATCTCGTGGACAAAATTCTGGATGACATTCTTGAATAATGTCATTCCATTCATCTCTGTCTACAAAGTCTTTGAACAAGTCTTTATATCTGTCCAAATTTTCATTGAAATGATTCATTAAGTTCACACGTAAAGCATGCCAGAACAGTTCCCTTCCAACCAGGGCACGTGACACTGCATGTACCAAACAGTGTCCATCTCCATCAGCATGTATAGCTACAAGTCGCTCCTCTCCATCGTTGACATCTTTAATTACATCTAGGGTACCAGATAAGTATTTCAGGCTACCAGACTTATCTCTACCATAGCCAGTAATAGATAAATTCTCTTCATCAATAACGAAAGCACGGTCGCCTAAAATTTTACCACAATCAAAAACAGGAGGTTGCCCAAGTTCAGTCAATAACTGAGCTTTACCAGTCTTCTTACACATTCCATACCTAGTTAATATAGGTGATACCAGTTTACAGACATAGTTAGATAACCCTAACACTTTGACATTATCTGCTCCTTTTTTGGGTTTGACATTACCTAATAAAATATTTTTCAGGATATTATGTAAGGCGACACTTGGATTTGTCACCTCTGCAATATTTTGAAGGGTGGACTTTTCATGTCTTTGACCACAACTTGTACATTCTATACTTTTATCATAAGCAGGGAAAAATAGTTTGGCACGACACTGTTCATCTGGACAGGTACCACAGAGTACTTTGTAATCTTCCCTTCTTCTTGATATAGCTTGTTCCATTTTATGTCGTCTTACAGTCCTTTTATTTCAACATCTGGAGCTGAAATGAAAATAACATCTTTATAATCAAACTGTAGTCATGGTAGTATTACATAAACTGACAAAAAAGGAAAGAAATACAAAAGGGGACAATCAAAATCATAAGAAATAAACTCACACTGTGTACTGATTGATAATTTAGTCTTAGATGCATGATTTTTTTTTATTAGCTTTTATTGGCTTTGAACTAGCTGTCAGTAACTGTGAGTACTCTCAGATCTGTACTTATTGTCTTTTTGTTGTTGGCATACTTTTTCAACAGAAATTATGCTGTTAATAAATTGTTTTGCAATTTGGTAGAGGTATTTATTGTCAAGCCCTCAGTCATCATGGTCATGAAGCAAATGATGAATGGTATCTGAAAAGTTATGGATGGTTTTTAATTATAGTGATTTTTTCTTCTATTTTTTAACGACAATTGTAAAATGAAAAAAAATAAAATGTTCCGCTAGGCGCAGCTTCATACGACCGCAGAGGTCTAACCCTGAACAGTTGGGGCAAGTATGGACACAACATTCAAGCTTGATACAGCTCTTAATTTGGATTGTGATTAAATATTTGACACAGCATAGGTTTCTGACAAAGAATGAATGTGGTCTAAGAACTTAAAAAAAATTTTAATTTACCTATTCAAACCATATCATTATTATTTGCTTTTATATATAAATCAGAAATAACCAACTAAAAATGGAAAATTTTAAAGAAAAAAAAAGGAAAAAAAGGGGAAAAAAATCTCCCCCCATATTTTTTGAACCCCCTTATGATTCATCACCCCAAAACTCAATCCCAGCCTTCCCTTCGTGGTATGGTACCTTGCAGTACAATTTCAGAGATATCCATACACTTGAACACAAGTTATTGATTGGAAACTAAAAGAAAATGCTCCGCTGGGCGCAGCTCGATACCGCAGAGGTCGAACCCTGAACACTTGGGGCAAGTATGGACACAACATTCAAGCTTGACACAGCATAGGTTTCTGACACAGAATGAATGTGGTCTAAGAACTTAAAAAATTTTAATTTACCTATTCAGTCATATCATTATTATTTGCTTTTATATATAAATCAGAAATAACCAACTTAAAATGGAAAATTTTAAAGAAAAAAAAAAGGAAAAAAAGGAAAAAAAGGAAAAAAAAAAAAAATCCTCCAAAATTTTTTGAACCCCCTTATGATTCATCACCCCCAAACTCAATCCCAGCCTTCCCTTTGAGGTATGGAACATTGTAGTACAATTTCAGAAAGATCCATACACTTACACACAAGTTATTGTCCTGAAACTAGAAAAATGCTTGGTTTTTGCCACTTTTTGGCCCCTAATTTCTAAAATTTTAAGGCAATTACCCCCAAAATCAATCCCAGCCTTCCCTTTGTGGTATGGTACCTCGCAGTACAATTTTAGAGAGATCCATACACTTGAACACAAGTTATTGTGTGGAAACTAGAAAAATGCTTTCTTTTTTTTCCCCTTTTTGGCCCCTTATTCCTAAACGTTTTGGGTAATTACCCCCTTTGTGATATAAAACCTTGTAGTACAATTTCAGAAAGATCCATACACTTACACACAAGTAATGTCATGAAACTAGAAAAATGCTTGTTTTTTGCCCCTTCTTTTGCCCCTAATTACTAAAATTTTGAGGCAATTACCCCCAAAATCAATCCCAGCATTCTCTTTGTGATATGGAACTTGTGGAACAATGTCAGAGAGATCCATACACTAACACACAAGTTATGTCTGGAAGTTACAAAAATGCTTATTTTTGGCCCCTAATTCCCTAACTGTTTTTACCATAACCCCCAAAAATCAATCCCAACCTTCCTTTTGTGGTATTGAACCTTATGGTAAAATTTCATAGAGATCCATTCACTTAAAACTAAAGTTAGAGTGCGAAAACCAATGTGTCTTCAGGCGACGATGACGATGCCAACATCATACCAATATACGACTGCAAAATTTGTTTGCGGTCGTATTGAAAGTTGATGACCATAGTATATTTTTTGTAGTTTTAATTTGGCAAATATAAGTATTATAAAAGAATTATTTTCACAGACTGCCTTCTCTTCACAGGTTATGCCTTCCTCATATTATTTGAACCGAAATAAAACTGATCAGACACAAACGGTTCCAGAATTTCTAGTTTGAACCAAGTCTGGATATCCGAGATGTAGAGATGTGTGTTGGATGGTGGAAATGGCCCCTCTTATATACTGAAATTTCCTGTGCCTAGTCAGGATTGAACACAGCCATCGGTCTTAACCACTAAGCCATGACCTCACATAATTTGAGTTTAAAAGAAATTTATGTTCATGGCCTTTCTTTAATTAGTTAAAAAAAAAATTTTATCAAGTTAAATTGAAAAAAAAAATCTGTTACTATTTAAAACAGCTACCAATATTGATTGCGTCCTCTTTAACAGGTAATATCTGCCTTCTATTACAGTTACATGAATAATTTTTATGAAACTAAAATGAAAGTGATGAAAAATTTATCACAGTTTGTCTTTATTGAAATGTATTTTTAAATTGTCATGGCATGCAATCAAAATGTAAATTTTGAACTGTCAGTACAAAACAAAAATACTCTGTACACATCAGTGAATACCTAAGTATCTTTGCACTATTTTCGAAGTTCTTTTTACATTTCAGATTTTGATTTCAGTTTCACAATTACAAAACAGGAAGTCGACTCTGCGGGACATTTACGTATTTACATTGAATTAGTTTTAGAAATTCTCAAAGACTGATTTTAAATTGATGTATGTAAAAAGGTGTTTGAATTTCATTGTGGATGAAAGGTTGTTATAGATTAAACAAATAAATTATCTATTATTAATATTCACTTCTAACCTGCAGTGTCAGAAAATTTACAAAATGGCTTCGGAAGTGAAGCAGAAGCCAAAAGGCATTTTAAAAGCCTCTTCCAGCTTTGACAAACCAGATCATCAACAGTATGGAACCTCAAAACTCATAATAATCATTTTATAGTATTTTTCCTCGCTGAGCTTTTCCACAAACACAAATTAAACCGTCAAATCGTTGACATAAACAAGTCAGAAATTTTTATATTATTTTGGTGTTATGAGTTACCTCCCATAATTTTAAAACAAAAACTGACATCTACAAGTCAAATGAGGTATGATCTTGTTAAGAGAGAGTGCCACTCTTTCGACACATTAAAGAACCCTTGCCACAACTCTTTGAGGTGTCAGTAAATGGCCTGTTGGGGTAACACGAATGACCGAATAACACTGTTATTATCCAAATAACACTTGTAATGACCAAATAACACTTGAAATTTTAATATTAACACGTATTTGTGACATTTAAACATTATTTATTAAATTATATTATATATGTATTTTATAACTTAAAAATGATTTACAGAAAGCATATATAAATTTGAGTAAATCGTTAAGAAAACTAATAGGTGATTGGAGTAATTGCATGGCTTTGATTGTACTTATTAACTTTTCAAAACCTTGCTGAAAAACAATTATTGGACAATATGTATATACAGTACATTATTAAATACTTTATTTTCATAGCATTTCCCTTTGAATGCATATGCAATCATTCTTTTATTCTTCCCCTTGTGTTTTCCTTGGTTGCCATGTTGGATGTACACACTATATTTATAATGATCTTTATGAACTTACCTGCTTTCTGTAAATCATTTTTAAGTTATAAAATACACTTACTATATGATATTATTTAATAATCAATGTTTAAATGTCACCAATATGTGCTAATATTAAAATTTCAAGTGTTAATTGGATAATAGCGGTGTTATTCGGTCATTCGAGGTACCAGGTCTGTTGCAAAGCAAAATTTCTGTTCCTATCCATCATACCCTTGTATAATTCAAGTAGAGAAGTGCCGGTCTGTTTTTGCACCGTTCATCCCATTGACCCCTACCTTGTCGAACCAAGGATAATGTTTGTCTGTTTTCGGGGTTAAGTGGTCATAGACTTACAAATGCCTTAAACATGTACTTTATTTGATCAAATGAAATTTATTTAAATTTTGATCCTGGATTGACATGGTGGCGGACAGAATATTTCATATCGAAAGAGATGAATCCCCAGAGATCCAGGTCGCAGAAATCGATATCACCTTTCCATTTCCCTAATGTCCACAACATATTTTGACCATGTCAAATGGCTTCATACTTTTTCAATAATCTTTTTGTTTGTTCTAGACTTATAAGCCTCGATTGCATGAGATTACTTTTAATGTTTAGATTAACAATGAATTGAACAAATAATTATGATAATTGCATAATTATAAAAATGTTAGGTACATGTAATTCTAACAATTTTCAGGTTCATTGACTTCAATGTAAGACAATCATCATTCCATTAATTTTGGCCCAGAGATTGAGATAATTTCCAAAAGCTTTTGTTTACATATCCTATTAAAAAATAGAAGCTTTTTTGAAGATAAATAACATAAAATATGACTTGACAAAAGGTGATTAAATTTAAACAGGCATGAATCTCGGATAGATTTTTGTGTTTTTAAATTTCTTATATGGAGTTAGTTCCCCTTAAAGTGGATTTATGTATATAAATATGTTTTTACTGATTATCATGATAATTTAAATAATAATCACTAGTTTATTTTACATTTAACTGTTAGATAATATTATTTTGATGAAAGGAAGTATGGCTTTGATTTATTTGCTTTACAAAATTCTTTCGATTGAAAAAAAGAACTTCTTATAAGTCATTGTAAGTAGACCCTAATTTTAGATTTAATTGTTGTGATTAAAAAGTCAATTTGGCACAGATTATAACTACCAAACAACAATTTTACTATTTACAGAAAGATTCATAGAAAAAAAGATAAAAAATGAGATGCAAAGATTCACGAGAGAGAACCCTAACTGACAATTATGTAGAACTCTAAAACTTTGAATTCTAGATAGCTAAACATCTGGCTGTACCAGGTTTAAAACTAACACTGTAAAAGGCAAGAAAGTGAAAAGATTTTTTTTGATATGGCATAGGAAACCTCATATCTGTGCATGAAGGAAAATAAGTTGATATAAAATAGAGTAAAGGGGCTATATATATATAAATGAGGAGATAAGGTACATGTATGATTGCCAATGTGACAGCTATCCACTAAAGTTCAAATAAAGTGGATGTAAGCAATTATGGGCAACTGTATTGCCTTCAATGAGAAAAAACCTATACCGTATAGTCAGCTATAAAAGGCCCCGACATGAAAAATATGAAACAATTCAATTGAAAAAACTAACATCCTAATTTATAACAAAACAATTTACGAAAACAAATATGACAGACATGAACCAATGACAACCACTGAACTACAGGTTCCTGACTTGGGACAGGTACATCAAGAATGTGGCGGGGTTAAACATGTTTGTGAGCGTTCAACCCTCATCTAACCTGGGACAGTGGTGTAACAGCACAACATAAGAATAAACTATAAAATCAGTTGAAAAAGGCTTAACCCTTTCACCGACAGCTGCCCAGACAGAAGCTACTCTGAGACGATGGCTTCCCTGGCTACTATTACTCAAGTGGGAGATCTTCATAATAAATGTCAATAAAAACTTGTCTGTATTTATTTGTGTCTTTATTTCATTCACTAACACCATGTTCCCAGTTTTGTTCATGTTTTGATAATTTTTCTTCATAAAATATTCAAATTTTCAAATTTCGGCATTATCTAGGTGAAATTCTCAAAATTCTGCTCTTTGACCCAACATCGTAATTTTTTAACCCAAAACGGCAAAATTTTAAAAAATTTAATGAGGCTGTACAAATTCCTTTCACTGAACCATGTCCATTTCAAGTGTTTTGTACATAAAACGACATTTAATGTCAAAAAAGTATACTAGTTTGGCTTCAATTCTTCCATGTTCTTTCAAAAAAAATGTTTCCTCATTTCAAATTCTCGTAAATTCCGTAAATTTCCTCTGATTTTGACACGGTTTTCAACAAACGGAAGCGCCATGATTACACTTTCATCCGGGTATTCAACAAAGAAAGATAACTTGTGTTTGCACTGTTTTGAGTGGGAAATATAAAAGAGGTATTCCGATCTGGTAAAACGGGACTCATCGTCAGCTGTCTGATGCGTGAATACCGGTAAACCGGGACTCATCCAGTATTCCAGCTAGGATTTCAAAAGGTCAGGGTGCCAATCCTGAAAAAGGGCATTTAACGCGTGATATGATAATATGAAAAGGGCATGTTTTAATAAAGATTATAATCAAACATTGTTTGTTCATTGAACACTGGTTATATATATACAAGAACAACATCATTAGCCCAGAGAAAAACTATCTTTCTACTTTTTAGGCTGAAAACTTATCAAGCAGCTTGTCACACAAGTTTTAAATCATTGCTTGGCACAGTTAAGCTTTATATGCAGTATTTTTTGAAAAATGTCCTGCTTCATTCTGTTTCTATGGTCTGACACACTTTACAAGTTTCACCTTTCTACCTTTTCTGTGCTTAATGGCAATACAGCACAAAACAGCTGTAAATGCACAATGTTAGGATATAGTGAACAGTGAAAATTTGGATTGAAAATAAAAAATACAGAAAAAGATGACCAAGGCACCCTACCAACCCTGCTACTAAGACCCTCTTTAACTTTTCCCATAACTCAAAACACCTAAACATATAAATTCTAAAGCCAGAAGTATGAAGACATATTTTATAATATCTTAGTAGGTTACTCAATGCTAGGAAAAAATAAGATTGAGTTATCTTTCTTTATTTGGGTGTGCTCCTTCTTTGGAGGATAATAGGTCAGTACGTAGAAGATGTAAATACGATCAACAATATGGCGGCCGATTTTGTTATTTTCGTTTAAAAAATGAAGGCAGTCAATGAAAAAGACGTCTTAATTTGCTATTTATTTCACGTAAACAATAAGAGCAATGTTTTTAACGATTTGATTATGGTTTTCGACTTTCTGTCAATTACGTTTTCTCCATGAAACTACGGTAAACATTGCTAATTGTGCCCAAGTTGTATGAACATTTCTTCAAGTTCAAAGACAAAATTGAAATGCCGACTGACCGATTCTATTTGAATGAATTAATGTTGATGATCGTTAAATGACCCATCCGATAAACGGATTACCTATAACAACAGATTATGACACCTGTTGTAACCGTTGATTAGCTTGGGGTCGTAAACAAAGAAAGTCATATACTTGACGCCAGGTAAATTTTCGTAATTGGCTGATCATATCAATACGAACAAAATAATATATCAATCGATCTTCAAAAAAGGCATGGCGCCCTGCAAACTGTAAAAAGGGCACAGGGCAGCACTCGGGAAAGGGCGGGCAGACCGCCCTGTGAAAACGACCTAACTGGAACACTGTCATCGGGGAAAGGGTTAACTCATCAGCATATTTGTCAGGTTACAAGAAAAATCTGTTGTAAATATGATGGTTGCCTCGAATGTGTCCTTTTTATACGACTGCAAAATTTTTTTGGGATCGTATAATGGTATGATGTCGTCGTTGTCGTCTGTGTCGTTGTCAGAAGACACATTGGTTTCCGGACAATAACTTTAGTTTAAGTGAATGGATCTCTATGAAACTTTATAAGCAGGTTCAATACCACAAAAGGAAGGTTGGGATTGATTTTGGGGATGATGGTCCCAACCGTTTAGGAATTAGGGCCCCAAAAATGGGCCCAAAGCAAGCATTTTTCTAGTTTCAGGATAATAATTTGTGTATAAGTATTTCGATTGCTCTGAAAATGTACCACAATGTTTAATACCACAAGTAGAAGGTTGGGATTCATTTTAGGGGTTATGGGGGCCAACAGTTTAGGAATTAAGGGCCAAAAAGGGGCCAAAAACAAGCATTTTTCTAGTTTCCAGACAACAACTTGTGTGTAAGTGTATGGATCTCTCTGAAGGTTCCATACTACAAAGGAAAGGCTGGGATTGAGTTTTGGGGTTATTGCTCCAAGGGGGGTTTCAAAAAGGGGAGGGGTGATTTTTTTCCCAATTTTTTTAAGAGATTCATATTTTTTTTTCAAAATTTTTAAAATTTCGAATTTTTGAAAAGTTTCAAGAAGAAATCATCAATTGCACAGTATTGCACAATGGATTTATAAGATCTTTGACCACATTTATTTTGTGTCAGAAACCTATATTATGTCAAAAATTTGATCACAATCCAAATTCAGACAGTATCAAGCTTGAATATTGTGTCCAAATTTGCCCCAACTGTTCAGGGTTTGACCTCTGCGGTCGTATCAGGCTGCGCTCAGCAAAGCAGTTTATTATAGGAATGTGCCCCTTTGCCCTCAGTTTCTATCTAGAACACTGACAAGAGAATCCTATGATATTGGCAGTGATGATTGAATCCGTCATAAACTCCACACATGATAGTGACATTGAGTCCCAGAACTTACTTTGGAAAGGCAAATACTCTTTGAAAATGATAAAAAAAACTATTTTTGATAAAGTATTCTCTATTTAGTTGCAGACATTCATATAAATTAACAAATTACTCCTTTCGTCAGGTACACTAAAAGCCCAAAGTGTCCGAGGACATTATCAGTTTGTAAGATTTGTAAATTTGGATTTGGGCAAATGAGTTAAGAGGTAGGACAAGTTGATTTTCTTGCAACTTGTCCCAATGTGCAAGTTAGAAAAAATAAAGTAGAGGCCTGAGAACTAACCTATTGTATTAATGGTGATTACTTTAGTCATGAGACAACATACCTTTATTCCTGAATTGGTCTCTGATATTGATTTTATTATCCTTATAGTCATGAATAAAAATTTTGACACATGGAATAAAGTGATGCCAAAAATATCTTGATCTTACAGCCATATTTTGTTGCCAGATGAAATTCAAATTCACATTTTCGACACAGTCATGACAGTATGATATCTATACTAGCATATCAATAATGTAAGTTGGTTCCCTCTGTATGCCTAAGAAATTAAAAAAAATACCACCAACGAATCAGACTATTTTCAAATAATTAGAAGCAGATCCAAGGTTAGGGGGTATAATTGTCTTTGATGGTAAAAATAGAGTGAGTATTTTGGTTCATTGACTTAGAAACTTTTTTATAGTTTACTTGTCAGAGTTTGTGTTAAGGTCAGTTCAAAGGGAACTGGTGATGATAAGTCAATGGGACACCATACATGTAATTGGTATTCGACACAGTCATGACAGTATGATATCTATACTAGCATATCAATAATGTAAGTTGGTTCCCTCTGTATGCCTAAGAAATTTTTTAAAATACCACCAACGAATCAGACTATTTTCAAATAATATTAATTAGAAGCAGATCCAGGGTTAGGGGGTATAATTGTCTTTGATGGTAAAAATAGAGTGAGTTTTTTGGTTCATTGACTTAGAAACTTTTTTATAGTTTACTTGTCAGAGTTTGTGTTAAGGTCAGTTCAAAGGGAACTGGTGATGATAAGTCAATGGGACACCATACATGTAATTGGTATGCAGTATTAGCATTGACATATCTCATTTTTATGGAGGTTATTTGGCCCCTCCACCTTAAGTCATGATTCATTGACTTTGAATGTTTTGCATAGTTTACATATGCATGTTAAGTATTGCCATTTTAATTTTAACATTTGCATTGTACTATTAAAATAACATAATGGCAATACATATATCTGTGTCAACAGTTTATTATACTTCATGGAAAAAAAACAACTGAGCTGTTTGAGAATTTTTTTTTGCTCTAAAAATCTGTATGAACAGACAACTCTGTAAATGATACTGCAAAAATTAATGTAAGTAATATTTAAAAGACAGGGGTTCAAATTAGCGGTGGTTTGAGGTCCGCGACCTTCCATTTTTGCAGTCGGACTCTCGTTTTGGTTACAAGCTACGCCCGATGGACCTTCAGTTTGAAAGAAAATAAAAATTAACTTTGCCGATCTTTTTAAACAAAAATTTCCAAACAATCTGAAAAATTTATTTTCATCATTATTATTCATGACAGCGATGTTTATTTTGTTCAACCACTAGCTTTATACTGAAAATTGCCAACTAGTAATGTGTAAATCAGAGTAAAATCGTATCTGACCGACAAAACAACATTGAAAAACATTGGATGCCATAAACCGAAAATGAAGAAAGTAACAAAAAACGGATCCGATTCCTGAGCGGATAACTGATAAGGGTAATTCCGGGTTTGCTGATCAAATACAATGAAAAAATAATAATTCCAGGCAGTTGACAAAATACATCTATGATGATAAAATATAAACACTAGAATTGAAAACCAAAAGATATATTAAAAAGAAAGAAAAAGTAGGAAATATTTTTTTACCATGTTTACAGAAACTCAAAATTACTTTTAGTTCATAAATTTTCATCTCAAAATCCAAAAAAATGTGACAGTAATTTTCTTTATCATTAATAAATATTGATATTACATGTAGATTTTTGTATAGTGTAAACGTATTACTACAATCCCAAGAGGTAATGTCTTCTCTCAATTTTAAAGGACCAGTACAAATCTGGAAGTTTCTTATCTTATTTTCACACTTCACAGAGGAACTAATGCATTATAATAGTGCAACTAGATATGATACACTTAAACCAGAGACATATATATATAGATTCTACCACTGCACCGAGTGTGATATGATATTTATCCACTCGAAACAGTTAAATTTTCAAATTTAAAGCGCGAGGTTTTTAAATATTTAAAATTGAACTGCCGATTGTGGATAAATATGGTATTACACGAGATTTGGTGGTAGAATCTGTTTCTCTAATGATTTACAAACAATAGGCAGGCAAATTTATTCCTTCTTTTCGAATGATCTGCAAAAAGATGTGTTCTTTCTATGTGACATCATCAGGCATGGTCGCCTTTTTTCATGCCGTCACAATAGGAAATTCAGAGGAAAGCAAGAAAATTCGACGTCATAATCGGATTTTAACCAATGAAGAACTGAGATCAAACAACCACACGTTGATTAAATTTTGTTTATACAATGGGTGCAGAGAGGGATAAATTGACGAAGAATTAGAGAAACATGTATATATGTCTCTGCTTAAACAGCTTTGAATTTGAAATGTTTTATAAAATGGTATAAGTAGTAATAAATTACCAATAGTTGAGACAACACACCCACCCATGGTGACACCCTCCTCAATAACAAAAAAAAAAGATTATCTGAATTTATAATATACAAGACAATTACAATTGTTATTAAATACTTTATACAACAGTGACTTTGACAATGAAACAAGTTGACCAAACACCAACAGCACATTAATTTTGTTACTTGTATCTTACTAAGTTAGGAAATATTTCAAGTAAAAGTAGGACCTGGAATTTAGGTTGTGGACCTTTCAGTTTGGAGTGTCAAAGGTCCTGGACCTTCCAGTACCAAATGTTTATTTGAACCCCGGAAAGAGCCTCAATTTCGTTGATTTTTAACACAAGTTTTATAGGGCAATTTTAAATCCCATGGCTGATAAATAATCCTGATGTTACATTACTTTTTAAAACAAAAGTAAATGTTAAGCAGTTTCTTCAAGACTAAATGGTACCGCTTCCTGTTTCAATGTAAACACAGATCTACATTTAGTTGTGCTTGCTATTAAAGTGAGAAAGGCTTTTCCAACAGTTAATAATGAGCAAGAAAACCTGTATTAATAGACCAAATTTCTATTTTAAATATTTGAAGTATGATCTTGTATACTGTTTTTTTTATTTATTTTTAAGTCCTCATTCAAAAGAAATGAAATGGGATGAAATGAACATATTGGCTACCCATCACCCTGCAGATAAGGACTATGGTCACATGAAAATAGATGAGCCAAAGACCCCATACAGTAAATTATCAGACGCAGAAGACGATGAAGAAGGTGGTAGACGTCACAGTGTATCTGAAGAACCAGGGGTTGATCCCAAGTCAATAGCATCTAGGTTTGTGTTAAAAAAGGGGCCAGTCTTCATGCTTGCCACATGCCCATCAGCCCAGATTTGTAAAATTTCTATCAGGCATGTAAGGAAATCTACTACAAGTCAATATGATCTATTCAAAAATTTCCAAAAAATTGGGACTGTGGCTGCAAAATTTTATCGTGAAGACTGAGGTTAAACACACTTGTTAAATTCATTTATTGAATTAATTAAGAAACAGGAACTGGGTCCTTTCCCATAATTTAGGCATAAAATAGCTTGTTTATTTACATATTTATTGGTCATTTAATTTGTATATATGATATCATTGATAAAATTGTCAAGACAAGGGAACTATATTATCCTTATAACATTTAATTACTGTAATGTCTGTGAATGCAAATACATGGTAGCAATATTTTTTTCTAATTAGCAAAAGCAGGGATTTGTAATTTTTTTGTTTCAAAGAAGTAGCATTTACATCGATATATACCATGAAAAAAGAACAATATTAATATAGTGAAAAAGTACATGTCTAAAAAAACAAATGTCTGTGTTTCATGTTGTAGGACGATGAAAATTAGGTTGAAAAAAATATTCATAGATGGGATCAGTATTATCTCTTTTTAGTGCTTATTTCACATAACATAAGGGATATAGATAACAGGAAACATGTATGTTTCCATTTGGAATAACATTAAAGATGTAGATATTATTTTACAGGTTACAGACAGTAGAAGATAGAAACAAATTACATGCTAAAGTGTCTGAAGAGGAATCCTCCTCAGAGGAAGAGGAAGACGAGATGGAAACAGAGGAAATGCGAGGTAGAAAAATATTCAGAGTGAAGGAAACTATTTTCTGAATTTTATTTTTATATAAAAATAAAAATATGTGGTATGATTGCCAATGAGACAACTTTACACCAGAGACTAAATGACTTGAAGTTAGCAACAATAGGTCATTATACTGACTTCAATGATGAGCAGAACTCATGCCTGCCTGAATTTTGATTTGTAAAGAAATAGGTAGCATTTTTATAATATTTAGATTGTAGTATCCCTAGGCATAATACAATATTACCAAGTACCAGTTGCAAAGTTCAACACAAGAAGGAACTGAACAGACTCAAATGGCAGTAAAAGAGTTGGGGTAGACACATCTACATGAGATAAGTTTTAAAACATAAAAGTCATCAGTTAATTAAAAGATTTTGACTGAAAAATCAAGAAAACAGGTCCAATAAAAGATGTTTATTTTGAAAATTCAACTTGCATTGTATTCCCCTATATGCTGAAAAATCATGAACAATCTCACTTTGATCTGTAATTGTATTTTGCATCTGGCTTTTTCACAAACTTTTGAATTTTATGTAGTAATTAAATTACAGTTACACTTCCATATTTTAAATTGTTCAGTGGATTTCTTCTGCATATCACGGTTAATATTCTTTGCCCATTCATTGAAAAATTTGTTATTCATCAAGGACTTTTTGTTGGCCTTACAAGTCACCGGAAGCGATTTAACATTTAAGTTAGCATCTGTTTTGACATTTTACCCCCTATACAGGGCCAACCTTAAAAATATGTTTGTTTGCAGTTTTCCGACTGTACCTTCAGACTGAAGGGTCGGTAGGTAGGAAAAATATTTTATTTTATCAGCCAAAATGAAGTTTAAACAAGCAGTTACACAAACCAAGTTTCTTGTGAAGAAATTTTTTTAAAACAACAAACACTGAAAACCAACATGAAATGAACAGGCATTTTCAGATAAAAACTTTTCAACCAAAATTGAAACTATAACATGGTGTGATTATCCAATTTATGACATTATTAAATACTAGTACTGGAACATTTATAAGATCTTATAAACAAGAAATGACTAAAATTGTTTTAAAGAAATTGTTCACTGACATATGCTTCTTTACTAGAAAGTTTTCATGAGAAGAGTATTTTCATTAGGAAAATGTAGATATCAAAGATTCATAAGACAATGTAAGAGTGATATCAATAAAAAAAATTAACCATTGAATTTAAATTAAAAAAAAAAGGAAACTTGAAAAAATATATTTGACATCTGACTGTTTTCATAAATCTAACAATATATAATTATATGTAATAAGGTTATATTTTGAAAGATATGTTGATGTGATCAGGCTTTAATTAAAACAAAAAAAAATCTTAGACTTCAGGGTGAAATCAATAGCACCCCTTTAAAAGTAAATGGTCTGTACTGAAATGTTTTGACTGCATAAAAAATTGGCAGCATAGCTCCTAAGGACATGTTTTAATTCAATTCACACAAGCCACACTGTTTGGGTATATTTAATATTGTAAGAGGGAGAAGAATTGCAATGAGTGGGGTAGCTCCCCTTATCCTAAAGGAGCATACTCATTGCAATAGAAGATAGATTTAACATAGAGAAAGTATATTTATTTTTACAAGCCAACCATTCATTTTCTTTACATCTTTGTGTAGTTTCTGTGGCTTCTTATAGATTTGGCATTGTCTATCGATTATTAATTTCAAATGCGCCCTTCCTGGCGTGTTTACAGGTATCCATGAAGTCATGGAAAAGTGGTTTCATCCTTGTTGTCTTCACAACGTTTTATAGAAACTATGGCATACTTCAGGCTGCTGTCAAATTGTTTAACCACTGATATTGGTTCCATAAAGTCAGGCTCAAGAGATTCTGTACCCGATCTGTTTGAGATGGAAACGGTTATCGTGTCGGTTTTATGAATATTCGTTGCATCATGCGTTCTCAAATCGTCAATGATATCTGTTTGAATCTGTATAAACAGTTTACTATTAAACTTTTTTGGTTGTTATTTGTTTTAAAATTGACAGAAAACGACAGCGCAAAGTACTCCTCCATGTCTTCATCGATACCTGTAAACAATCTCCATGTGCTTTATTAAGTCTCCCAAACGAAGTTTGGGAAGACTTATTGTTTTTGCTCAGTTCTTATTATTATTATTATTCTTCTTCTTCTTCTTCTTCTTCTTCTTCTTCTTCTTCTTCTTCTTCTTCTTCTTCTTCTTCTTCTTCCGCCGCTTTTTAATTTGAACTTGTCCGCACCCGTTCTCCAAAACCGCTTGTCGGATTAACTTAGGGTTTCACAATATGTTAGACTAACATGTCTAGTGGTGCAATCAGGGTTTTGTTTTTGCAATGGGGTTTATAAAGGGTTACTTTGAGGGGCAAAAAGAAAAGAGGGTTTTACTATAGAACCCTATGGGATTTTATTTTTTAAAATTTTCAAATGATTATAAATTGAAAACCGTTCGTGATAGACACAAACTTTTTAATTGAAAATGTTCTAAATGATAAAGCCCATTAAATGAAATACAGGGTTAGTCCCCAGGGGTCACCCCCACCCCCTGCCATTTAAGAAAGTTCTAATACCTTGTAAGTGGTCAAGATCCCCACCCCTAAACCATATATATTCTGGTTTGTCATGCTAAGATGGTTTGAATGATATACAGGGTTAGTCCCCAGGGGTCATCCCCACCCCCTGTCATTTGAGAAAGTTCTAATATCTTGTAAATGGTCGAGATCCCCACCCCTAAACCATATATATTCTGGTTTGTCATGATAAAGCACATCAAATGTTATACAGGGTTAGTCCCCAGGGGTCACCCCCACCCCCTGCCATTTAAGAAAGTTCTAATATCTTCTAAGTTGTCAAGATCCCCACCCCTAAACCATATATATTCTGGTTTGTCATGCTAAGATGGTTTGAATGATATACAGGGTAAGTCCCCAGGGGTCATCCCGACCCCCTGCCATTTGAGAAAGTTCTAATATCTTGTAAATGGTCGAGATCCCCACCCCTAAACCATATATATTCTGGTTTGTCATGATAAAGCACATCAAATGTTATACAGGGTTAGTCCCCAGCGGTCACCCCCACCCCTTGCCATTTGAGAAAGTTCTAATATCTTGTAAATGGTCGAGATCCCCACCCCTAAACCATATATATTCTGGTTTGTCATGATAAAGCACATCAAATGAAATACAGGGGTAGTCCCCAGGGGTCACCCCCACCCCTTGCCATTTAAGAAAGTTCTAATATCTTCTAAGTGGTCAAGATCCCCACCCCTAAACCATATATATTCTGGTTTGTCATGCTGAGATGGTTTGAATGATATACAGGGTAAGTCCCCAGGGGTCATCCCGACCCCCTGCTATTTGAGAAAGTTCTAATATCTTGTAAAAGGTCGAGATCCCCACCCCTAAACCATATATATTCTGGTTTGTCATGATAAAGCACATCAAATGTTATACAGGGTTAGTCCCCAGCGGTCACCCCCACCCCTTGCCATTTTAGAAGGTTCTAATATCTTGTAAATGGTCGAGATCCCCACCCCTAAACCATATATATTCTGGTTTGTCATGATAAAGCACATCAAATGAAATACAGGGGTAGTCCCCAGGGGTCACCCCACCCCTTGCCATTTAAGAAAGTTCTAATATCTTCTAAGTGGTCAAGATCCCCACCCCTAAACCATATATATTCTGGTTTGTCATGCTGAGATGGTTTGAATGATATACAGGGTAAGTCCCCAGGGGTCATCCCGACCCCCTGCCATTTGAGAAAGTAATAATATCTTGTAAAAGGTCGAGATCCCCACCCCTAAACCATATATATTCTGGTTTGTCATGATAAAGCACATCAAATGTTATACAGGGTTAGTCCCCAGCGGTCACCCCCACCCCTTGCCATTTGAGAAAGTTCTAATATCTTGTAAATGGTCGAGATCCCCACCCCTAAACCATATATATTCTGGTTTGTCATGATAAAGCACATCAAATGAAATAAAGGGGTAGTCCCCAGGGGTCACCCCCACCCCTTGCCATTTAAGAAAGTTCTAATATCTTCTAAGTGGTCAAGATCCCCACCCCTAAACCATATATATTCTGGTTTGTCATGCTGAGATGGTTTGAATGATATACAGGGTAAGTCCCCAGGGGTCATCCCGACCCCCTGCCATTTGAGAAAGTTCTAATATCTTGTAAATGGTCGAGATCCCCACCCCTAAACCATATATATTCTGGTTTGTCATGATACAGCACATCAAATGTTATACAGGGTTAGTCCCCAGCGGTCACCCCCACCCCTTGCCATTTGAGAAAGTTCTAATATCTTGTAAATGGTCGAGATCCCCACCCCTAAACCATATATATTCTGGTTTGTCATGATAAAGCACATCAAATGAAATACAGGGTTAGTCTCCAGGGGTCACCCCCACCCCCTGCCATTTAAGAAAGTTCTAATATCTTCTAAGTGGTCAAGATCCCCACCCCTAAACCATATATATTCTGGTTTGTCATGCGAAGATGGTTTGAATGATAGACAGGGTTAGTCCCCAGGGGTCATCCCGACCCCCTGTCATTTGAGAAAGTTCTAATATCTTGTAAATGGTCGAGATCCCCACCCCTAAACCATATATATTCCTATTTGTCATGTCTCGAACATTTGAATGACGTATACGGTCAGTCCCCAGGGGTTCCCCCCACCCCCAATGTTCTAATATCTTGTAAATGGTTGAGATCGCCACCCCTAAACCATATATATTCCTGTTCGTCATGTAATGAACATTTGAATGACGTATAGGGCCAGTCCCCAGGGGTTCCTCCCCACCCCCAATATTCTAGTATCTTGTAAATGGTTGAGATCCCCACCCCTAAACCATATATATTCTGGTTTGTCATGCCAAGATGATTTGAATGATATACAAGGTTAGTCCCCAGGCATCACTAATGCATATAACTTTACTGGACCAAACCAATTTTCAATGGATGTTGCCCAATGTCAGGCGACCCTGGGAATTACGAATTATGGGAGCTTCGTTTGGGAGACTTCGTAACAGCATCCTGTTACATTTATTTCTTGTTATTAAACAGTCCCATGTACGCTTGACAAGAAGGTAAGAAAAACCGAACTTGAAACGTGTAATCGACCCAGACTTTAAAGCAATTCCGGAAACGACCAGAAGTTCCGGATTGCGTCAATAGAAAAATAAAAATAATTTCTTCAAATTAAAAGCAATAAAATTTTCACAGTCGTGCGGATTTTCGAGGGTCGGTCGGTAAACTGCAAACAAACAATATTTTAATTTAAGCCTGTCTATCTCACGCTTGGCTAATGTCTTGTTAGGGAGGGCACAATAGAAACGGCCTGTTTCATTTGCATTGAACGTATCCATCATATCATAAACTTTAACAATTTCTGGCAATTTACTTTTAAATTCTGCTAATACCTTCAAATTCACATCAGCACTTTTTCGGCCAATTTTGAAAAATCCAAAACCATATCTGAAACACCAACTTTCAAGCCATCCATTTGAGGCCTTAAACTCATGTAAATTGAACTGTGGTTTTTCCTGTAAAATAGGTCCACTCAAAGGAATGTTCTTTTCACGTGCACCCTTAAACCAACGAAACAGAAGTTCATTCAAATTGAAAAATTAACTTGAAGTAGCATGCCGTTAACGCTTACTTCCTATGTTTTTGGATATGTATCTTTACATTTGAGAATGTCACAAACAGTAGCTTTACCGATCCCATATTTCAAACTAAGATCCTTTTGTTAAATTTGCAGACCTGATTCTGAATCTTTAATTAAATCCATTTTGTTTTCAAGAGAAAGTTCCTCTCTTGCCCTTTTCAGCAATGGAGACGGTTTATCATCTTGATCAAGTTTAAGTTTCTCCTTAGTTTTCATTTAACACTGCATACATATACATCTACAAGCTAATTAGTTTATAAAAACAACTCAACATTAAATCAAACTTCAATACCCTCTGGGATTCTCTGCCAGCCTGCATTTGTTTAATCACTAAGGCAAATAGTTGTAAATACTTACATTGTTTTGATTGCAATCGATTGAATTGACAGGTAATTTTTTATACACATTCACTATTGAGCCTTAAAAAAAAGCGTTCAGAATTCGGTACAGTATTAGCAGAGGTTAAAATTATGTAAATAATAGGGAAATTTCATGGGACTTTGAAAATTGCTCGGTTGAAAATGAAATTCAATTTTATCAGGGCTCAGTTTTTACAGGTTTGACTGTCATGACTCTATTATTCTAACACATACTGGCCAAGTATGAAATTTTCTTCACATGTAGTTTAAGGAATTACAAATGAGAGCTTCCAGAAATTTGAAATCAGGCTTCATGTGAACTTGCTTTTCCATGTTTTAATGTATTTACAGATTAATTTTGTTCAACTTCCTGTTTACCAAATACTTAAAGCAGGGATATCATTAGTGAGCAATAGCTGACAGTTCTACTTGTTCTTTTGTCCATGATGTTGTCTGTTTTTCTATGAGTTTTGGTTCTTGAATGCCCTCTTGGTTTCATCTCCCACTTAGTTGTATGATGTAATACCCAAATGCTTAGATTTTTTTTACTAAGTAATGCAATTTACAAATCAGTCCTTAACATTGCTGGCGAAATGACGATTTAAGTCACCAAAGAATTTTTAAAATCACTAAATCTCGCCGGCCGACTGACTTCATAGTGAAGTCAAATCGCTATCAAAATCAGTATAAGGGAGACAATTTGTGATTTACAAGTCGCACAGATAAACAAAAATGGCGACTGACATGGAAAATCGAGATTTTCGAAACAACCAAGGGCTAATACTGTCGATGATCAAATGAAATGAATACTACGGCGACTTTGAACATCCTCAGATTTAACATTCAAAACTATTAAAACAGGAAACTGAGCTTCTGTTTAAGTTATCATTTTACAATGATTTTTGATCTGAAGATGTTGCGTAATCACTCAGCTGATTTGTATTATTTTTATTTCTTACAAGTCGATCAGTTGTACTATTTGGTAGGTTAAGGGTGGGAATTAACGGTAGATTTTTTATATTTATTGAATAAAAATTGAAATATAAAAGCTTAAGGTAGAAAGAAAGTTGATAGTTAATGTGATTGCAAACAACGACACATGGCTATGGCCAGCTTGTGATCAGCAGTGGATTTTTTTCACGACCAATTCCTTCATAAGGAAGATATCTTTTATAAAAAAAAATGATATAAATTAGCTCTTTATCAATTAATTAATATGTGATTGACAGATATCTTTAATTATAGGCTTACAATCTTTCATGAGAATCTCAATTTACAACTGACATGATGTCCATGACATTCAGTAATGTTTTACAAAATTATGACAAGTGGTGATATACATTAAATTGCCCAGTCATTTAAAATTCATCAGATATTATTAAAACTGGGAGTCATATTTTTCTGGACTTTTGAAAATAAATTGAGGCAGATGAACAGGAATTTAATGCATCATAATATTACTAGGCTACTCCCTAGCAACACAGTTTTCCACACTTTATTTCTTCGTGCTTGAAGATATTGATTTGATATTTGGTTTATAGTTTCATCATGACAAGTTACAGATCAAGTTCGAATTTTGTTCCCGTCTGATGATTTTGTGCATAGTTATGGTCCTTGGACTTAGAAAATTAACTCAAATAATCAGTTTTCCACACTTTTTTTTGTCATGCTTGAAGGATTTGATTTAATAATTGGTATATAGTTTTATCATGACAAGTTACAGATCAAGTTCACATTTTGTTCCGGTCTGATGATTTTGTGCAGAGTTATGGCTCTTGGACTTAGAAAATTCACTCAAATAATCAGTTTTCAACACTTTTTTGGTCATGCTTGAAGATATTGACTTTATATCTGTTATGTATTTAACACCATGACAAGTTATAAATCAAGTTAGGATTTTGTTCCAGTACAATGAATTCTTAACTGGTAGGGGACTGTATTGCTATGCAATACTCTCAGAATGCTTGTTTAAACTTAAATTCAAGTTGACAGTACAAATGGTATGAATAAATAAATAACAACTATATTGTCTAAACCTTTTTATCAAGTATTTTCAATATATACGTTTTGTACAATATCATATGAAAAAACTGCAAGTATATTTTTTATTGCATATATTAAACAGTTTCCTTAGTGATAAGCACAAAAACACTATGCAACCGAAACGGTAATGGAATTTCACTTCTCCATGAAATTGACCACTTCTCCCTACTCTCTCATGTATTCTCTCTCTCCAAAATCCTAGAATAGGCCCTGCAAATACAGTAAATCCTGTAGAAATGGCTGGGTATGGGACTATAAAAAAGGGCCAGTTTAGACAGTGGGCCGGTTTATTCAGGTTTCCATTTTGACAGGAAGATATTGACTTGTGACGTCAGATATTTTGCATATAAAAGTTCTGTCTCATTGTAAATTGTAAACTATTAAATACAAATACAGTAATAATCTATTTATTAAATTAGTTATGTCATGATTTGTGTGAAAATATTGTGACATGAACATTACAAGTGTTCTCTGCCTTTTCACCATTTAACTACGCACAATCTTTGTTTTGATTCTTCTTATTCATTGGCTTAAAAAATTTTCGAAAATTGGCTTTCCTTGTATGTCAAATGGACCTCGGTAGCTTCAGTCCCCGACTCGTCAGTTTCACTTTGGTTTTCATTTGCATCAGATTCCTCGTGTTGTTTAAATTGTTCAACGAGAGTCGTTTTTCATCCATTGTTCATTTCCTACATTAGTATAGCTGATTAAAACACATAAATTTTATCAAACGAATTTTCATCATGATCAAAACATTGTCGTACAATGTACGATACCCATAAACTCGACAATGGAATATCGTCACCCGGGTCTTTTTCATTATCAGGGTCATTGGTTTTGGGATTAACAACAGGGAACCCTGCATTTCGAAAAAAAAAAAAATTCTTACTCCGCGATTTGAAAAATTCATCAAAGTTGCAATGTAAGTTCTATCCAAGATATATTTGGCGTTTCTATTAGTTTATCTTAATTAAAACTTAATAGGGCTGCAACAATAAATCTCATTATTCATTCACGGTTGAACACCTTGCTAATTGATAATCCCTAAAAACCATCTTGTAAAAACAATTATGTTTTGATTGCATATCGATCAATACAGTTTCATGTTAAATTAATTAAACAAACCGGTTTTGACAGGTAATAATTAATGTAATTAGGATTATTGGGACTTCATAATTAAGCCGGAATTCGGAATACACAGGGTCTGGTTAACAGGGGGTATTTTTACAAAGACTTGGAAGGGGAAAATATGGGACTTCAATTTACGGTCGGAATGGGCAGGAAGCTGATTTATTCAGGGTCTGGTTTACCCAGGTTTGACTGTACAAATATTTTCATTTCCATTTCAGCACAACGCAGAGTATTTGAACAAAAAAGAAAGCTGCATTATAATGAATTCCAAGCGGTTAAATTAGCAAAACAGTTGATGGAGGAAGAAGAGGAGATAGATGAAGAAGATGAAAATGATGAGGAGGAAGTTCAAGATTCTGATAAAAAAAAAGATAGCATTCAAGAGCAGGATAAAACAGTTGATAAAGTTCAAAATCAGGATAAAACTCAGGCCGACTCATCAGCAAAAAATACATGATTTGTGTATGTGTTAAATAGATGTAGAATTTTCAAATTGATTCATTGAAGTTCCTGTCAGTGAAAAGAAAATATTATGATGATTTACCAATTTGCTGTTTAGGAAAATTGGGCAATTTTTTAACTTTTAAGGTCTGAACCCAAAACATATATAAAGCTGTTAATTCCTTTCAGGAATTTGTGTTGTTGTAGGGTGTTGTTATGTGTTTGAACACAAGGGCCATAATTATATCTAAGGGGCTTTGTTGCAATAAGATGGGCCATAAAACCTGATGTTTTCTATGTCCTATTTGCTTCAATATCATATTTCTTTACTTCCATCAGTTAACATTAATTGATTGATACAATTTGTTTGAAATTATGATTATATATCGGTAAATATTTTTTATGAGAACTGGGTATTTATAGAATTTATTATCAGTTTATTCGATGATTTTCTTGATTCTTAGAGAAAAATTTGATAAAATTTGGCATATATGGAAAGATTTTATTGATATGAATGTCATAAAATAAAATTGCTACAATGATATTTTTGGGAATAAGAATTCATTTCTTTCCACATCCAAGGGTAAATTTCTTTTATTTAGAGTGATTATAAACTATATTGCAGGTATTTAAATTCACTCCGCTTCAAATCAAAACTACTATTGACCTAGTCAGAAGTGATCAGATGTATATTTTGTATTTTTGCTTATATTAATTTAAAACAAAAAAAATCAATTGTGTTTATTGATACACTGTAACTTTTAATTGGAATGAACATACTAACATCAAGTGTCCATGATAATTCATATATACTGGGTAAATTTGGGATTTTTGAAGGAAGTGTCTAATCTAAACCTGCCTTTATAAATAGTTTTATATAATATACTACTTTGGTTTAACAAAATCAGTGAGCTGTGATTCTATATTGCTACATTCCTGGTTTATATTAGGCCAAATGAAAAAAAGTTATGGTTCAAGTTTCCAGACCAACCATTAAATTTTGACCCTTACAATAGATTTTTTTGTTGAGCTAGTGAATATCAAGTATGACTATTTATAAAAATGTTTGCATCTAATCATACTGAAGGTAGAAGTATTAATGAGCCTTTGTCCCACCTAGATCTTATTTTACAAAGTAATGCAAATTTTGAAATACCTTTTTTTTTAATAAAGGGCCAGTGAATATAAAAGCACTTCAAAATATAATTTGAAATGAAAGTAACACATAAATTGTCTCCATTTTCTTCCTCCTGTTAGGGAGACACATAATCTTGTGAGCAGTGTATTAAAGTTGACATGCTTTGATCAGTTCATCTTACATGAAAAACAAAATGATTTTTTGCTTTAAAGGGCAGCAATACATGGTCATGAAGTTCAAATTCTCCAAGAATGATTTGAAAAGAAAATAATATTTTTCATTGTTACCCTTGTAGTTTTGATAATAAAACAAAGAAATTGGGAAAATGAAGTTTTTGAAAATGTTGAAGAACCTAGTCAAATTTGAAAATTGCAGATAACAAAAGCGACTGAAAGCAAGTATTGTGAACAACAGGGTGACTAAATATCGCTTTTGATGGTTGGGCAAAGCGAAGTGACGGACGGGAAAGCGGCTTTGTCGCCCCAGTCACCAGCTAGCGTGAGCCCTGAGAACCTATCTAATTTAAACTGCTCTACAAAGAACTCTAAATAAATACACAAATATATATACAAGTTTAAAAATGTGGCATATGACCTTTAGATTTTCAATGTCTTCTTAGTATGCTCTGAATAAGATTACATAGAACTAAAATAAAAAAATCTTAAACTTCTGATACAATTTGAAATAACATATAACCAGGACTTACAATATTATTTTGATTTGCCTGTTGATATTTTACAACTGGTACATTGAAGTGGACATAGAAAGTATAGGGTTATACAATTTTATAAGTGCTAGATTCTTTATATACTTTATATACATGTAAATAGGTTTTATTGCAAGGTCAGCATAAGGTCAATACCACAAAATTCTGCCATGAGTATTTTTATACTTTTTCTTTAATAGGTGAATTATAATTACGGCAAGGACATATACTAGTTATGTTAGTTACATCCTTGTGAGGTAACAAAGATATGTTGTCTATATTTTTTTTCATATTTCCATTCTTTCATTACCTTTTATCAGATAACAATGTTTCCTTATAACCAATGGAAGTGTTTATAACAAAACCTGCATTGACGTTTTTGATTGGACAGTGGTTTTTGACCTTGAGTTATCTATGCATGTCATCCATATATATTTGTAGTCATGTTCCCTTTAAAGATACTATTGTATTTTGTTGTCATCCATAATCATGAAACCATATCAGGGAGTCTTCCTTCTGTTATCATTGTTAGATGTATCCAACTGTTGCTTTCAGTCTATTTTAATAACCGCTTGTACAATGTACAAACTCTTTATTGTTTATTTTATCAAATATACAATTCCTATCAGACATTAATTTTTGGAGCTTATTTAATTTTACAAAGTGTAGATGAAGTTACAGTTAAGATGCACATAAACATTAAACATTTTTGTTCAGATGAATGAGATGCAGAAATTAAAACTTGTATTCAACTAATTGTAATAGTTGGGGATCTTTTCTGAATGTGAATGGGGGTTTACAGAATAAAGAATAATGGGCAAAATATATAAAGAATAGAGAATAATGAGGTGCTAAAATATAAAGAATAGAGAATAATGGGCAAAAAGTTTAAAGAATAGAGAAAAATGGCCTAAAGCATTAAAGAATACAGAAATGAAGGACCCCATCCAGACCCTCGTAGTTTTTCAGATCATATTAATTTTTTTCTCATTACATACCAAAGTAATGCATCTACTTTTATTCAATAACTTTATGATGACATTTTATATAGTTAATTATTTGGATCCTGTTATATTGACATGAATCAAATGAATTTGTTAAAGATTCTATCACTGCATAGAGAAGATATATAATTTTTTTTTTTAACTTTAGACACTTAAATAACTATGAAACTTGCCAAACTATTGAAATATTTAAAAATTTGACTGTTGAGAGTGAAAAAAATTGTATAGCAATTAGATACAGTATAAAAATCTGTTTCTTTAATGAATTTAGACAGGATGTATGATTTCTTTGAGGACCAGTAAAACACACATTGATTTAAAAAGAAAATAAACAAGCAGTCACTGGCTAAGTATTTAAAAATTATTCTTATCATTGTCAATCTACAAATGATGTTTGAATATGTCTTAGATATTTCATATTATGTGTTCATTTTTAAATTAGAAAAATTCTTTATGAATTAAAATTGTGTAAAACATGTATTTATTTAGTTGCATTAAATGATGATGTATCAGACATTGGATTAAAATGGCTGTCAGATTATTAAAAAGGGATAAAAGTTAAAGGAAAACAAATTTTATAGCAATTATACCAATTTAATTCTTCTACATCATTTGTAATCCCAAAATACTATTTTCCCAGATTGACAGTTTAGTTTTTAAAACAAAGAAATAATTATTTTTCATAGTTTAACATTAATAATTTTACAGAAATTTTTCAGTACTTGTAGTTTTGTTTACATGTACATCTTAGAGGAGAAGCAATAAAATTGTGTGTGTAACTCTGTTGTACTTTTTAACATAAATTATGTGGATTTTTTTCCTTCATCGTCCTGTATTAACTTCATATTATTATCTTTTTTTTTTAAAGATATTTTAGAAAACATTTATTTTGTTGTAAAACAACAATAATATCAGCATATTTTTACAATGGTATGTTTTTTGTTTGCTTGTATTTCATTCCAGTCGTTTTGTTTGTTATGTTTTTAAAATTCTGCTGTTAAGGTGTGCTGTATTGACAGAGATCAAAGTGCTATGTTTTTTATTTACATATCTCATGTGATAGAAGACAAAAATACTGTTTAAAGAAATGGAGAATATGCAAGGATATTTTCGTGTTTTTCTTTGTAATACCTAGTATACATTTAAATTCATGATCTTTCGTAAAAACAATATCATTTCACAAATTTACTATTAAATTGACTTTATGATGTATTTTTAAGTTTCATGTATATTCTGAGACAGGGAAAACAGACTTTATATAACAGATAGCTAATTTGGATGTTAGAAAAGAAATCTATTACACACATTTGTTTAAAAAATTTGGTATATATAGATCAAATGAGGAAGTAAAATTAAAAAACATAGTATCACTTCCAATATAGAAGTATTTCATCATGTGTTAAGATATGTAACAATTTTTAAGAAAATCTAGTCTACTAACAAAAAAACTTTTACTTGGCAAAATCTGTTATATTTATTGGTATAACCCCAAATGTTGACAAAAATACTTTCAATCGACCAAGAAAGAATCCTGAAATTGAATTGAGCAAAGTTATATATCTACAATATGTAAGAAATATGTATAAACTGAAATGTAAGTTCAATCTTTGCTGGTATTATCTGATGAAGGATTTCAAAATAAATATAATTCAAGGCACCAGATTATATAGCTGTATTATACAATTATTGTTTATGATACCAATAGATCCCTTCATGTTACTCTGCATATTTATTTTAATTCATTACAGAATTTAAATATTTATTGTATAGATACTTACTTTACTGCAAAAACTTTCTTTTAAGTTTTTTGTCTGCATTTATTTCATATTTTCCCATTAGTATGATAGATTATAACTGCTTGTTGTTGCTATGGTAATTGTTCTCATGTAGTAAGTCTTCATTATGCATAATAATTAAAAAGTTTTGCAGCATTATGTTTAGTCATTTCTTAAAACACTAGAAATACTTGATGACCACATTGCTACAAGGGCACACACATCACATGATAGGTGTTATAAAAGAAGTGGAATCTGTATTTTAGTCACCTCTTATAATATGAGGTCCAGATATAACTTTGCTGATCGTAAATATTGACTGATTGATTGTTTGTGTCACATGCCCCTTCCCGCACTCTTAGCTATACATCATGGTAGCCAGTTTTATTGGTGGAGGAAACCAGAGTACTTGTAGAGAACCACCCACTTATGGCAGGAAAACTCGAATCCTAGTCAATAAAGATCCGAGTCAAACACACCTGCCACCAGCGGGGAGTAAACTCTCTACCTCAGTGTTGACAGGCTAGTGAGTAGCAATTAATGTAGATGAAATGCTTGGACCTTTCGGCCACCAAGGTCCCCATATTGTAAATATAAGATAATTAGAGAAAGAAATTGGGTAAAGGTAAAATACAAATCACATTCAATATAGGTATCAAAAAGCATGAATTAACTCTGAATATCCTTACCATCTTGTAGACTATAAATGATCCCTATAAACAAATGATCTTAAAGTTATATAGACCGGGTAGACAACTGATGAATACATTTTTCTTTAATTTTCTTTAAAATGTTTATACATGTACATTAAGAATTGAATTCCAATATAAATAAGTTATTGTGCAAATTTTCATGAAATGGGAATCTGAACTCCATAATATAATATTGTTTAAATAGATGAAATAGATAGAATTCATTCTATGTGAAATTAAACTAAAATCAATTGGTAGAAATTTATAAAAAAAAAAATTGGCATCTAACAATGAACAAAAATTTAAAAAGAAAAATGATTTGGGATTTTATTATCTTGGCATTTCATAAAACAGTGTAAAAGTTTGTTAACTTACAGTTTATCTCCTTGATCTTTGAATTATAATTTTTTTTTGACAAAAACTGTCAAATATATTATTCATTCATAAATATTGTATTTTCTAATTGATCTCTGAATTTAATGTTTAATAAAATAAGATGTTTTGAGCAAGTTCTCAGTTTCTACACTATTATATTTAAAGCATGAATTTTTGGGGTCTGTATATGGCTTTTTTTTTCACTTTTCTAACTCATTGGTTCTAATTAATTTCCTGATATTTTAAAGCTTTAACTAAAACTAGCAACTAGTTTCCTTAAAAGCAATGCCTCACTATTGACCTAAATGATATAAAATTGGACTGAAAACCAACAAAAGCTTCAAACAGCTATGCAAAATAATGTACCTGAACAAACGTACAAATTAGTTTTCAACAGACAGAACAAAAGAAATTCGCCATGACAAAACTGTTTGCCTAACACTTTAAACATAAGGACAGTGCAAATGTTGAAAGACATAATTATCCAATTCATGTGCCTGTGATTTCACATGTGTCTTTGAAATGTTTCCACATATAAAAAAGTTCAGGATACAACTTCAAAAGTCGTATTTTTTCTAAACTTTACATGTAGATAGATGACTTCCTATTGTAAAATTTAAACATTTATGTAGAATATACCAGCAGCACTTGCATATGGAGTATCTCCCACTTGATGTGATATTCCATCGCTTGTATTTTCTTGATGGATGGTTGCTTGCTTAAAAGGATGCTAATCAACCCTGGCTATAATGATAAAAGTTCAAGTCATTTCTTGAAAATTTTTTCTGATGCCATCATGACTTGGCTGACTGCTATAGAACCTGTGCCATAGATGACCAGGAATATGTTATGTTTGTAGTAGCTACAATTCCGTCCTCTTTTCCTTCATTATGACACAAAACAAATACAATTTATCACCTTAAAATTTGTCTTTCCTTCGACAGAAATGAAGGGCAGAAAATTTGGATGTCACTAGAAAACAATGGTATGTTGGATAGGGACAAACATTTTCCCTTTGCAACAGGTGACCTGCTGACCCCTCATAGATTTGTTGCAAGGACTCTTTAACGTGCAGAGTGTGTGACACTCTCTTTCTCAACACGATGCATTGGATTTAAAACCATTCTGACCCAGACCGAACGTGGTTGTGTACAGCATTTATACTATATCCGACACAGCCAAAGGACATCCCACATTGCCAAGGATTTACTGCCTTCCAGAAGACCATGGTCTATTTTGCTATACCCCAGTAACCCTTAGGGTGCACTTATGAGTATCGTAATAGGATATTTATATTTGGTATATGGGATCCTTGCAAGATCTACTTGTATTGAGACGGGGTTCACCTGACCTTGACCTCGTTTCATGGATAAGTAAAGTTTATATCTCGGATACTATATATAACCAAATGCAATAGGTCAACTGTATTTGTATCAAATGCTTATATATAGTCACCTTGGTCTTCTGGATGGCAGCAAATCCTTGACAAAGTGGGGTGTTGTTTAGCTGTGTCGGATGTAGTATTAATACTGTACACCACCACGTTCGGTCAAGTTCAGAATGTGGTCCGTCTGACCGGTTTCATCTGACCTTGACCTCATTTTTACGGTTAATCGGTCAATGTTAATTTTAATGGTTAACCGTTTTAATAGTCTTTCTCATATACTGCAAGAAATTGGTGTATGGAATGTTTGTAAGACATACATGTCTGTATGGCAGGTTTCATCTGACCTTGATCTCATTTTCGTGGTTCATTTGTCAATGTTAAATTTTTATGAATTAGTCCGTTTTTATACGACCGCAAAAAAATTTTGTGGTCGTATATTGGTATGACGTTGGCGTCGTCGTCTACGTCGTCGTCGTCGTCCGGCGTCGTCGTCCGAAGACACATTGGTTTTCGCACTCTAACTTTAGTTTAAGTGAATGGATCTTTTTGAAATTTGACCATAAGGTTAAATACCACAAAAGGAAGGTTGGGATTGATTTTGGGGGTTATGGTACCAACAGTTAAGGAATTAGGGCCAAAAAGGGGCCAAAAGTAAGCATTTTCTAGTTTCCAGACAATAACTGTGGAACGGTGTATGGATCTCTCTGAAATTATACTACAAGTTTCCATACCACAAAGGGATGGCTAGGATTTGCTTTGGGGGGTTATGGCTCAAATGTTTAGGAATTAGGGGCAAAAAAGGGGGAAAAACAAGGTTGTCCTAATTAATGGACAAATACTTTAGTACAAAACATAATTTAAAGCAGTGTAAGGGAGATAAATCAAATACATCATTGAAATTATCTCCCTTACACTGCTTTTAAATTATGTATAAAGTAATGGTTAATGAACAATAAAGATAATTTAAAACAGTGTAAGGGAGGTAATCCAAATACAACGTTTTGGTTACTTCCCTTACACTGCTTTTAAATTATGTTTAAAGAAATGCATAATTATAAAGGAAGACCAGTAAAAATATCTGCAAATGTTGCATCTTTTTTTTTTACAAAAAAGTCCATATGAAAGATTTGACACTATATTTTTAATTCTATTATAAAATAGATTAAGTAAGCACTATGGTAAATTTAAAAGGGTAATTATGGTTGCCAACTCCATTGGAAATTTGAATTGAGATTATGACCATATCTTGAGGGAAAGAATTTTTTTGGGGAAAAAAGGGGGGGGGATAAAAAGAAATTGTGGGGGGTCAATTTTTTCTCATTTCAGATTTCAGAAATTAAAAAGAATTATTCTTCAAATATTATTTTTTTTTCAAATTTCAAATATTAAAAATTTCAAGAAGTAATCTTCAATTGCACAGTATGGCGCATTAGATTTGTAAAATCTTTGATCACATTTATTTATTTGTTATGCCGAATCTAACAGTGTATTTAGATTTTTAATTTTGGGTCCAGTTTTCAAATTGGTCTACATTAAGGTCCAAAGGGTCCAAAATTAAACTTTGTATGATTTTAGCAAAAATTGAATATATGAGGTTCTTTGATATGCTGAATCTAAACATGTATTTAGATTTTTTGATTTTTGGCCCAGTTTTCAAGTTGGTCCAAATTGGGGTCCAAAATTAAACTTTGTTTGATTTCAACAAAAATTGAATATATGGGGTTCTTTGATATGCTGAATCTAACCATGTATTTAGATTTTTTATTTGTGGACCCCGTTATCAAATTGGTTCATATTGAGGTCAAAAGGGTCCAAAATTAAACTTTGTTTGATTTCATCTAAAATTGAATTATTGGGGTTCTTTGATATTCCAAATCTAACCGTGTATTTAGATTTTTAATTTTGGGTCCTGTTTTTTAAATTGGTCTACATTAAGGTCCAAAGGGTCCAAAATTAAACTAAGTTTGATTTTAACAAAAATTGAATTCTTGGGGTTCTTTGATATGCTGAATCTAAACATGTGTTTAGATTTTTGATTATGGGCCCAGTTTTCAAGTTGGTCCAAGATAGGGTTCAGTATTTAAACTTTGTTTGATTTCAACAAAAATTGAATATATGGGGTTCTTTGATATGCTGAATCTAAACATGTATTTAGATTTTTGATTATGGGCCCAGTTTTCAAGTTGGTCCAAATTGGGGTCCAAAATTAAACTTTGTTTGATTTCAACAAAAATTGAATACATGAGGTTCTTTGATATGCTGAATCTAACCATGTATTTAGATTTTTTATTTGTGGGCCCCGCTATCAAATTGGTTCATATTGAGGTCAAAAGGGTCCAAAATTAAACTTTGTTTGATTTCATCAAAAATTGAATTATTGGGGTTCTTTGATATTCCAAATCTAATCGTGTTTTTAAATTTTTAATTTGGGTCCCGTTTTTTAAATTGGTCTTCATTGAGGTCCAAAGGGTCCAAAATTAAACTGAGTTTGATTTTAACAAAAATTGAATTCTTGGGGTTCTTTGATATGCTGAATCTAAACATGTGTTTAGATTTTTGATTATGGGCCCAGTTTTCAAGTTGGTCCAAGTTGGGGTCCAAAATTAAACATTTTTTGATTTCAACAAAAATTGAATATATAGGGTTCTTTGATATGCTGAATCTAACCATGAATTTAGATTTTTTATTTGTGGGCCCAGCTATCAAATTGGTTCATATTGAGGTCAAAAGGGTCCAAAATTAAACTTTGTTTGATTTCATCAAAAATTGAATTATTGGGGTTCTTTGATATTCCAAATCTAACCGTGTATTTAGATTTTTAATTTTAAGTCCCGTTTTTTAAATTGGTCTACATTAATGTCCAAAGGGTCCAAAATTAAACTTAGTTTGATTTTAGCAAAAATTGAATTCTTGGGGTTCTTTGATATGCTGAATCTAAACATGTGTTTAGATTTTTGATTATGGGCCCAGTTTTCAAGTTGGTCCAAGTTGGGGTACAAAATTAAACTTTGTTTGATTTCAACAAAAATTGAAAATGTGGGGTTCTTTGATATGCTGAATCTAACCATGTATTTTGATTTTGGACATTGGACCATAATAGGTAAATTAAAAAAATTCAAGTTCTTAGACCACATTCTTTCTGTGTCAGAAACCTATGCTGTGTCAAATATTTAATAACAATCCAAATTCAGGGCTGTATCAAGCTTGAATGTTGTGTCCATACTTGCCCCAACTGTTCAGGGTTCGACCTCTGCGGTCGTATCAAGCTGCGCCCCAGCGAAGCATTTTATTGTAACTTCCAGACATAACTTGTGTGTAAGTGTATGGATCTCTCTGACATTGTACCACAAGGTTCCATATCACAAAGGGAATGCTGGGATTGATTTTGGGGGTAGTTGCCTCCAAATTTTAGGAATTAGGGGCCAAAAAGGGGCAAAAAACAAGCATTTTTCTAGTTTCATGACAATAACTTATGTGTAAGTGTATGGATCTCTCTGACATTGTATCACAAGGTTCCATATCACAAAGGGAATGCTGGGATTGATTTTGGGGTAATTGCCTCAAAATTTTAGGAATTAGGGGCCAAAAAGGGGCAAAAAACAAGCATTTTTCTAGTTTTATGACAATAACTTGTGTGTAAGTGTATGGATCTTTATGAAATTGTACTACAAGGTTCCACATCACAAAGGGAAAGCTGGAATTGAGTTTGGGGGTAATTGCCCAAAAAGTTTAGGAATAAGGGGCCAAAAATAATCATTTTTCTAGTTTCCAGACAATAACTTGTGTTCAAGTGTATGGATCTCTCTGAAATTGTACTGCAATGTACCATACCACAAAGGGAAGGCTGGGATTGATTTATGGGGTAATTCCCTCAAAATTTTAGGAATTAGGGGCCATAAAAGGGCAAAAAAACAAGCATTTTTCTGGTTTCAGAACAATAACTTGTGTGTAAGTGTATGGATCTTTCTGAAATTGTACTGCAAGGTTCCATATCACAAAGGGAAAGCTGGGTTTGAGTTTGGGGGTAATTGCACTAAAGGTGTAGGAATTTGGGGCCAAAAAGGGGCCAAAAAACAAGCATTTTTCTAGTTTCCAGACAATAACTTGTGTTCAAGTGTATGGTTCTCTCTGAAATTGTACTGCAAAGTACCATACCACAAAGGGAAAGCTGGGATTGAGTTTGGGGGTGATGAATCATAAGGGGGTTCAAAAAATTTGGAGGGGATTTTTTTTTCCTTTTTTTTCTTTAAAATTTTCCATTTTAAATTGGTTATTTCTGATTTATATATAAAAGCAAATAATAATGATATGGTTTGAATAGGTAAATCAAAATTTTTTTAAGTTCTTAGACCACTTTCATTCTGTGTCAGAAACCTATGCTGTGTCAAATATTTAATTACAATCTAAATTCAGTGCTGTATCAAGCTTGAATGTTGTGTCCATACTTGCCCCAACTGTTCAGGGTTCGACCTCTGCGGTCGTATCAAGCTGCGCCCCAGCGGAGCATTTTATTTACATTATATAAGCAACACTATTGTGGATCATTGTTACTGTTAAGTTTATTTGATATTTGTAGTAAAATCTTTAGCTTTAAGACTATCAACACTCTTGTTTTAATGGGGTTAATTTTGCGTTTCTTGATTTTTCTGTATAGTAGTTTAGGGTATTTTCCTTTTCATTGTTGTTGTTCCCATCAGGCACAGTCTTGCCTATTCTAAGCCATGAAATTGTTTTTAGTTTTCAATGCTATCTTTAACACTCAGTCACGTATTAGGGTAAGATAATTTGAACCTTTCTGGTGAAACTAACAGTAGGTGATATAATCATGTATGAACTAATTTCTTTTGGATACGATGGGAACATTAATAATTCCTCAATATATTATCCAATTTTCACAATTTGTATGCAGATACTCCATCTAGTCATTGTCATCTGACCTTGATCTCATTCCTCTTTTTGCTTCAGTAATCCAGAAAAAAAGATTCCAAGATGTGTCAATATTATCGAGTATGTGGGTTGTAACGTTTCAGATATGTCATGTCTTGACCTAAATTCTGTGCTCCAGTGGTCGATGAGGTCCGATCCTCAATATCTGCACGATAGGTAGTTATTTGGTATTTAAATTTTTAGCTAGGAATATATTTGTCTGACTGACATATAACATATGGCCTTGGCCTCAATTTCGCACTCTGTTTGATTTTGACATGTCTGATACATTATGTATTTCCCGAGTGGAGTGAGAATTGCTTACCCCAGTTTGAGAATTCAATCGTGAGTTTTACTTTTTGGTGAGCTTGGCATTATTTGATCTTTACTTTTCTATGAAGTGTTTTTGGACTGTGGTTTGTCTTTTCTCTTTTTGAAATGGTATTGCCTGTCCTTTGATTTTACTATAAATTTCACTATTGGTATCTTCTTTCAGTTTATGTTGAGCGTTGTGTCGCTTAATCTTTTATTTCCCCTGTGTATTTTTGTTGACTTGTTTGTCTTTTTACTTATTTCCCCTGTGTGGTTTTTTGTTGACTTGTTTGTATTTTCACTTATTTCCCCTGTGTGTTTTTTGCTGACTTGTTTTTCTTTTTGCTTAAACACAGAATACTGACCACGGACATTATGCGACTGCTAATTTTGTTTGTTGCAGAAGAAAAATATTTAATGTTTTAAAACGGGAATAAGTTAACAACCAGAACCCAGGAAACATTTGTACACTCAATTAACGAATTCTATTCACGATTTAGTCTGCATATGAGGGATGTTATGGGGAGTTTTAGACACTCTAGACCCTTACAATAATAAAATACACCAACCATGCTGTATAATTGCTTCAGTGTTGTTACAAGTTTTGTGTTCAGGATATGATTTTTTCTAAAGATTTTTTTTTCTGTCAAAATTTTTGTTACGCTGCTTGTCTGTATATAAAATTGCATTATAGTAGTCACATTACTCAGTCATACATGCATACGCAAAACACTTTCGTTCCTATCGAGATCCCCAAAATCTTACCCAATCAAACTCACCTGTATTGACTCATTATTCGATTTGACAGAATCGCACACCAGTACACAAACACATGATACAATGATTTGTTTATAAAAAAAAAAGCTAAAAGGTAAGGCACTCTATGACTATTTGTTGCACTTTTAAAGTATCTTAGATGACGACATGTTCTAGTTTTACAAACGTGTTAACTTCATTTCTTTGAAAGTCAAGATTAGACACTGTTTATAAATTCATTTGTTCACATATTTGATATTGACTTTTATTTTAGTGCTTCCCAATATTATATTCGGACATTGGTAATTTTAACATTTTGTTTTGAAATTACCTTGGAGATTCATTCATTGCATTTGCTATTTTTTTAATAATAGTATATACTTTGTCAAACATTCATGAAATTCTACTAAACAGCTAAACATGGACAGCAGTAACAAATAGCACCATTATCAAAATTTTGATATTTTACTGCATTTATCTGATTTTTTTCTGATAACTTGACTTTTACTTTGACTGTATAACAATCAGTTTGTTCACTTAGATGTTGAATTTATTTATTGGCAACATATTTGTTACCTTGTCCTATTTATGCACAACTTATTCACGGGTAGTAACCTCGTCATATCGAGAAGAGTTTAGTACAGTGATTTTGTCATAGTTTGGTTAAGATGAACATGGTTGTGTTAAGTTACTTCCCCGAACGATTGCCTCAGTTCTATTCAAACGAGCAAATAAAAAGCAAATAAGATGTTTTAATTTGCATTGTTAGTCAAACGATCTACATTGAAATTGTTGTTTTCTAGAAACTAACGCAGAATAAGCAAACTATCGAAATTGCTATGGTTTGGTTAAGTTATGACATGGTTCGGTTAAGTATCTAGAAATTCGTCATGGTTTTGATCAAGTTTATCATGGTTTAGATCCAAATTAATATATATCTGTATCAGCTCAATATTGATAGTTTGTTTAAAAACGCTTGTAATTAAACGAAGTTACACAATTTACCAACTGACTAAGAAGAAAAAAAAACCTTTTAAACCAAAATTAGATGCTGTAATTAGCAAAGCGTACATTAAACAATTTAACTGTTCGTGACTTATCTTTGTATGCAAATTGTACTACTACGAGTGTCTTGTAAAGGAATTAGGAATAAATTAGCACTCATGTAATCCCACATACAAAAACATCATTTGACGAGGATGAAATTTTGGTGATTCAAAGTCCTTAATAGCTTCAATGAACATTACTTTGAGCAGCAAATCGGAGGACTTACCTTGTTTGTATTGGATACCTAAGCTTCACAAAACTCCATACAAACAGCCGTTCATTGCCAGCTCATCTGCATGTTCGACGAAAGAATTGTCCATTAGATTGACAAAGATTCTTTCCGCAATGAAAGAGGGTTTTCAGAAATACCGTGAAACAATTTACTGGCGTAGTGGTATTAACCATGTATGGATTTTAAAAAAACTCTTTAAGAACTTCTGAATAAATGTAAATCTCGATCTTTCTCTGAAATTAGTTCTATCAAAACGTTTAATTTTTCAACCCTGTGTACCACCATTCCCTATGAGTAATTGAAAAATCGTCTAAAAGAAATAATTTAAATCTACAATGCTTTTCAACATAAAAATGGTAGCGCACGCTATACATTTATTACTTTTGGATACCATACGGCATATTTTGTTAATAGTGAACAAAAAAATAAAACATGCTACACAGAGGAACAAGTAACCAGTATGCTGGAGTTTCTTATTGACAAAATATTTGTTGAATTTGGAGGTAGACTTTGTCACAAAATTGTCGGTATTTCTATGGGAGCGAACTGTGCGGCAGCGACCTCTTCTTATCTTCATATTAGTCGGAGTTCCTTCAGACATTTGTAAAAAAACAAGAAGATCAAAGAAGCCAGGTCATTTAATTTCACATTCATATATATTGTTCTTTCCATTAACAATCCAGACTTTTCTGATTGAATTCCATTAATACATCCCCCATAACTAAATATTAAAGGAACAACAGACACGGCTTCCTCTGCCTCATTTTTAGACTTATACCTCGAATTTGACATGAGCGGTCATCTTTATACGAGAATCTATGACAAACGAGACGATTTTAATTTTAAAATTATCAGTTTCTCCAACCTTAGTAGCAATATACCAACTTCTCCTGCATATGGGATATACATTTCCCAACTCATTCGATATTCAAGAGCTTGCAGATGCTACTCAGACTTTGTAAACCGTCACCAGTGTCTGAGCAGAAAGTTGATGAACCAGGGGTATGTCAAAGAACGTCTTGTCCCTTTTCCAAAAAAGTTCATCGGAAGACCTTGTGGGTAAATAATCCTTTTCAACTTCACAAATAATAAAAGATGGTCTTTACTTCTACTTCTACTTCTACCATATACTAGTAGTGACCGCCTTCAACAAATTGAAGATTATGTCACAGGAGGAAACTTACAACAAGACATAGATTGATATATATACAATCTTTAAAAAATACGAAAAAAAAAAAAAAAAAAAAAAAAAAAAATGCTTTGTATAATTAAGTATGATGTAATAGTTGAGTTAATATTGATGTTTTGAAATTGAAGATTTGAAAGAGTCTACTGAAGTGCAATTTACAATGTTGTCCTTTAAGTATAGATTCTAAGTACTGACATTGTTTTTCACCTTAATGACGTGTTATGGTACTCTTTTATTTGTCGTTGTAAATTATTACTTTAACTGTTTAGTCTATTTTTGGCCCAATCCATTTGACGTGGCTCGGTACTTATATATCCCGTCATTGTGTTATTGTGCTTTGGTATATTTTTGTATTCTTGTCTTTCGTTCTTGCTTATGTGCTTTGTCTATATGCCTTTTTGTTTTTCTTTGTTGAAATATTTGTTTTGTTTTTATAGTGACTATGATTATAACACAATGTTGACTGCTGTACCCTTATGTTTTGCCTTTTTTTCCTATTATGCTTGTTTGTTTTGTTCACACATCGTCGTCAATATAATGGAATTTTATGCGACTGTCATACATGTGAAAGGTTAAGCTGGCTATAAAACCAGGTCTAATCCACCATTTTCTACAGAAAAAATTCCTGTACCAAGTCAGGAATATGACAGTTGTTATCCATTCGTTTGATGTGTTTCAGTTTTTGATTTTGCCATTTGATTAGTGACTTTCCGTTTAGAATTTTCCTCAAAGTCCCGTATTTTTGTTATTTTGCTTTTATAATTTAGATAGTCACTGCTCTTTTAAACTTTTGAGATAATAATTACAAAAACAGAAAGCGCTGCTTCTGTTTCACATAGATTATTTTCTCCGTATGTCCATGATTGACTCTGTCGATGATATCGTGAGCAGCATCACTTGTAAAATGTGTAAAAACGTCTACTTAAAGTTGCAAAACGTATCAGCTAGTCAAAAAGTAATTTTTGTTCTACTTTATTTTTCTACCAAACTATATATCTGTTGTTTTATTTTGAACCAGTCTATGATGAATAAAAGGAGATGTGGGGTTATACGCCCATGCTAAAGTATCCCAACTACAAAACTACTAAGTAACCAAACGATATCAAGAGGACACGATAAGTCTTCAACCATCCACGAAACAAAGAGTTAACGCGTGACATGGACAACAGTTAAAACTTATTTGTTTTATAAACTATTAGTAGAATTAAAATTAAAAAAAACACACACAAGTTCAGAATTTAAATATATGAAAAATCACAATTCCGAATCAGAATGAAGCCGATTAAATGTCCACTTTTTTCAATTATTTTTACGAACCGAATAAAAATGATTATGTTTTTGTAATATTGTATAATACATTGGTTTTCTCATTTAATTGTTTTTTACATATAATTTTGTCGGAGCCTTTTATAGCTTGCTTAAAGGTATGGATTTTGTTCGTTGTTGAAGGCCGTACGACGACATATAGATGCTTACATCTACGTCATTTTGGTCTCGGGTGGATAGTTATCTCATTGGCAATCAGACCACATGTACTTACTATATATAATACTACATTGAATGTGCGTATATATGTCCTTTTGTATTCCAAATAAAACGATTTAAAAAAGAGTAATTCAATATATATAATACCTGTTTATTTTGATCGTTTTTCTTCCTTCATTCACGAATAGAATCACATAACTGAACCATGTTCAACATGAAATAAACCATGACACGAATGAACCAAACCATGACACCGAATATTCTGTAATCTCAAATTGTGTGCACTAGGGGCAGTTTTTCGGGATTATTGACAGCAGTTTTATATCATAACAAAATATGTGATGTAGCAGACAGTTAGCAACCTCTTTTCTGTATGCATTAGAAACAAATCACAACTTTTAAATTTTGACATACGCAAGCATTATTCTGTGTCAAATTAATAACTATATGATACAAATTTTGATGTGCTAACATATTAGCTATAAACAAAGATGCTTACCAGCTTGAATTTGTTGTCATTAGTTCCTTTAACAAACTATTCGAATGTTTATATTTTGACACTGTTTGTCATCAAAAACACTTAACACAACCATGTTCATCTTAACCAAACTATGACAAAATCACTGTACTAAACGCTTCTCGATATGACGAGGTTACTACCCGTGTTATTGGCCACTGGACGTTCAGTATATTAACGGCAATTGCAAGACACTGGATACCGCGGAACACTTTATGAATTTTTATTTATCATAGTTAGTAGATAATCTATAGTTAACTTTACAATTTTTTGAATAAGTAAACTCCTAATAACACTTTATAAAGTTAGCCACATAAACCCTTTCCTTTGGTTAAACAAGTTTACAAGCTTAAATGAGAAATCTTAGCATGCATCTAGCTGACTGAAGCTGTTATTTTTTTTAAATCTTTTATGGTGGATACAATCCTTATAAGGTCCTCTTCAATATCACAGATATCTATATCGTCTGGAAATTTAGAAGAGCACTTGCAAAAGAAGGCATGTTAAATAGGGGCAGACATTTTGCAATGGACCACCTACGGACCCCTCAATATATTGTCGTAATAGTTCTTTAACGAGCAGAGAGCGTGGCACCCTCCCTACACGAGGCATCCCGCACACCCAAACGGAACCCAAAAATGTATGCCCCCTATTCAACATACGTTCAATTTCCAGTGCCTGTTATAATATCCCGCCCTCCATCCCGGTCGACCCACGTTGAAGAATCTATCTATGATATTAAAATACTTAATTAGTTTTCGGTCCTGAATATGTATGCGATATTTGCCACTGGACATAAAGCGCAAAAATGAATTAATAAACCTATAAATTCCAAAACAAAAGTTCTATGTAAACTATATCGGATACTGGAATCATGTTTATGATAATAACATAATGTAGGATTATGTATTGTCCGCCATGAAATTATGTCCACTGGACACTTTTCCACAGTAAATTGTGTCCTCGGACATAATGTTATTATGAAATATCGTCCGGACGAAATTTACCTATGAAATCGTGTCCACAGATGTGAAAAATTGTCCTTCAAAGAAAGGACAATATTTCAAATGAAAAAGTGTCCTTAATAGAAAGGACAGTATTTCACGTGAAATTCAAAAAGTGTCCACTCTCAATACCTACAAAATGTATACATAGCTTCAGTTCTTTATCTAAATTGAAGTTTTAAAATTAGCATGGGGGTTTTGTCTCTATTAAGACATGGCATGTAAACTGGAGTATTGAATTCATACAAAATGTGATCAACACCATGTGTAATTAAACATGAATTATACAATAAAACAATACTCTCTTTTGTTTTTTAACCAATATTTTTTAAGTACAGTTCATCATTTTTTATTTCATAGTTGGATGCTTTTCTCCTGATAGTTCTTTTCTCGTTGCCAGTTGAGGCTGGTGGATACTTTTTGTTGACATCTTTATAGCTAAGATAATTGAAATGCTTTGGAATTCAACACCTTTCATTTTTGTTTACTGGTTCTGAATAGGTTTGTTTTTGTAATAGAAAATTAAATATAGCTAAAACATTTTAGTGACTTTTTTATTATCTCCCTTTAAAAGACACTTTTTACTGTAAAAAAGTGTCCTCTTATTGAAAATCAACCTTTACAGGTTAGAATTTTATAGTATTTTATCATGAAACTATGTCTGATTGAATGGACACCTTTTCACAGCATCGGACACATTTAAATATACCTTTTCTGTGAAAAAATGTCCGGTGGACACTATTTCACAGGACACTTTTATGGCTCACATAATGCCATAAACTTCTGAAACAACCTTGTAATCGAACGTGATAGTGTAAAGCAAAATATTATTCTATGAAATATTGTTCCACAAGACGATATATCAGGACTATGTATCATGAAATTTTGTCCCTATCTATGGAATATCGTCCAAAGAAGGACAAATTTCCATATGAAACTTTGTCCATATACAGACAATATTTCATAGACGAATAGTTTGAAATTTTGTCTTTGTAAAGGAAGCTAATCAAAAGGTACATTTTGTGTATATTGAGACAATATTTCATAGATGGATTGTCATGAAATTTTGTCTCATGAAAGGGAGGTTATAGATATTTAATATTTTGGATAATGATATCATTAAAGTGTTATATTTGATTGATAATAAAAAAACACCTGCTTAATTATTTTAAGCAGCAATTTATGGTTATACACATACTTTTCATGAAAAATAATTTTTAAAAATCCAGAAACGCTCTCAATTTCTTGGCAGAGGAATCCTCAAGGAAGACATAATTAGATTAAGAAATATTTTTGTGGACAGTATTTCACAGTGAAATATTGTCATGGACAGTATTTTATAGTGAAATATTGTCCAGAAGGAGGTGACAAAATTTCATGGACAATGACACTATTTCATAATGAAATATTGTCCTGGACAGTGTTTTTTCATGGAATAGTGTCCGCGGATAATATTTTATATGAAATTTTGTCTGACGGACAATATTTCATGAGGGATATTATTTTATGTTACAATTGTGACTGGCCAAAACCATTTAGCAGACCTACATTTATAATTCGCAGAAAGTATGCATGTGAAGGTAGGTATTTGAAGCGAGACAATATCTAGACAAATGTAGATTATAAACACCCGTTTTGTTCTGAAATTGTTAATAGTTTGAAAAGCAAAATCTAGGAAACTGATAACAAAAATGTAAACTATGTTTTAAACATTATGACAGAACTATAATAATTTTTTTAGACAAGTCATGGTTAACCAACCATTATTAGATGTACTTGCTCAGCTTAGCAATACTACATCAACCGAGGTGTCTTTAATTCTCAGCGAGGAGTCGAAAAAGGGCATTCAAATCACCAGCATCATCTTCATGATCTGTAAGTAATTAAATTGGGATATATGTTTGTTTACTCAATTAAAGTTTACAAAATGTTATGATTTAAAAAGTTATTTCTGAGCTTTTCTCCAAATTTTCTGGAGCATTTCAGAATAAACTTACTAATATCATATCCGATAACACTGTAAAGTTAGAAAGCATTAACGATTGTCCTTTTAAATGTTGCTTCGATTCTGGCTTGGACTTAAATTTTGGTCTTCTGATCGGTTTCTTGTATATGTATAAATGAGGATTTCTTTGAATTTAAAATCTTAAGAAATGATAAATACTTTCATGAATTCTTATTGAATACTTGATTTGACCAATTTGCACATTTGGTGTTAATGATTTAAAGGGTCCTCTTCAGAAAGTCAATAACTGCAGCACTCACTCTTTCCAATATTGACATTACACCAAGAAAGAAATTGACATAGGGCCATCTGGGAGAATACGTGAAGAATCTTACAAAATGACCATACTTACCTAATCATGCGTAGTCTTTTTGTCATCTATATATATAACGTAATATAAATGTTGGTTTAATGGATTCTTCGCTTATGTTTTCTTTATCTTTCGGATGTATCTATTCGACAAAAAGATTACAAAAGTATATAAAAAAAGAAGACATTGCTACTCAAAGAACCAATCATCGCTCCATTATGCTGAACTAATTCTACATTCAGATTAATTCGCACGTAATGAACTCGTCTGGTATACATAATGACCACCATTTCAAAAAACACAGTATGAAAAAATCCAGCTCGAACATATAGAATTCTTATCAATCAATACCCTCTTAAGGCATATTCAAGTTCTGTATTTCCATTCTTACATAACATCAATTACTTGTCTTACTTTCTTTTTACAATAAGAGTTTAATAAGAATCTAGTTTGTTGCATTTTGAATTTCCAGACGAAATCCCAAACCTACATTTTCAATATATTATATTATATTATATGTATTAATAAAATACAAGTGATAGACATATGGCCTATATAGACAAACTTGATTTTATATTTGTCATATATATTGAGAAAAGTAAAGTTTTTAAATATGCTTGCTATTTCAGTGTCACAAGGTGGGTTTGGATTGTTTTACTCTGGCTTATCCCGGGCCAGAAATGCTTTGACACCATACATTGCTGTTATTATCAACATGTGTAAGTTTTACCGTTCATCATTGTAATGCTATTTTTGTTTTTTGGATTCAATGGTTAAACAATGACCTTATTATACTATAAAACTAAAATATAACCTGCGTCAAGAAGGACAGGATTGAAGGCAGGGGAGACAAGCATAAATAAGAGAAATGTACAAAAAGCAACAATGTAAATTAATCTTTATTTTTTGACACATTTATATGATTTAATAGTTAAACTTGATTTACTTCAAAAGTTTTATTCTTTAATTAAATAAAATGACAGATCTTATTTAAACAAAGAATAAACACGTTTATACTACAATAAACCTTGCATTTTTGTCGATCCTGCGTCGGCGGCGTCAACATTTAGGTTCAGTCTGTGGTTAAAGTTTTTTTAGTCATCAATAACTTTGTCATACCTACATGGAATTTTATGAAATTTGGACAGAAGCTTGTTTATGAGCAAAAGACTGTATCCAGAGCAAAATTTTGAAAATTTTGAAAATATTTATTTTCATTTTCCGAAAATGACATCAGCAATCGCAGGCGAGACACAAGGTTTCGCGGAACCCCTTACGAATTTTTATTATTGTTTTTCAAAGTCATAGTTTTGTTTTGTGTATGGAGTGTCGGTTACACCTTTGCATGGACGTCAGGAAATGGGTTCATTGGCCATAGGAGGAAATGGTTTGGATCAGAAATGGATTCCACGGATTACATTCCATGGGCACTGCATGCCTGTTATACGATGTTTGTAGCCAATATAACGTGTGGAGGAATCATAGAGCGAGGAAGACCTATCACCTACTTTGTATTATCACTGTTTCTTGCCTGTACGTACTCTAATTAATAAAGATATGAGTATTAATAATTTGAAAAATGTAATGTTAAAATTACCGAATCTAAATTTACCAAAGCTTTTACAGATTAACCCACATTGGCTTTTCTTATGAAAATACACAAATTATACATTGAGATTACAGATTTAAGAGAATTTCCTACGTCACATTTACTGTCATACGTCACCAAACATATATAGAACTTAAATAGAACAACTACCGAGTTCAACATTTCACGAGAAATGTAGAATCTCAGTTTAAGAACAAACAATTATAGAAAATACGAATATTTCTTGGTGAATTCGAAATTGTAATGAAACATTCTTTTAAATTTCATTTGTTGCAATTCTATGAAACGTTAACTAATTATTATTGACACGTTAGTATTTTCAATAATTATTGTGTAACATGATTTGTTAACTGTATTAAAGTGCAAAGTGGTAAAATAAAGAAGGGTCTGGATGGGGTTTACAGAATAGAGAATAATGCCTATTAATGGTAAAAAAAGAGCAGAATAATGTACAAAAAATATAAAGAATACAGAAAAATAGTGCAAAAAAAAAAGGAAAAAGAAAAGAGAATAATGGGGTGCTTAAATATAAAGAATAGAGAATAATGGGGTGCTTGAATATAAAGAGTAGAGAATAATATGCAAAATATATAAAGAATTGAGAATAATTATCTAAATTGACGAATACAGAAATGAAGGACCCCATTCATACCCTCACAAAGCATACTTACAAGCCATTATGATTTGAATTCCACTTCATGGCTTTGTGTAATTGTTGCCAAAGAGTCTATTTGAAAAGTGAGAGGTGGTTATTTTTGCATTGCTACAAAAATATTCAAACTACGTTTTCATACTATTTCTTTTAAAAATTATTCTATATTTATAAGAATTTGAAATAAGTTGGAATTAAAACATGTAATCAGGGATTTGTATACTATACAAATCCTTGATGTAATATGTCAGTAAATTATATGTGAAGTTACAATATGTTGTCAATAAGTTTCCATGGGAATATAATCTAATATATCTTATTTGAAATATAGACTGCACGGTCTTATTTCCCTAGACAGAAATTATAGCTGAACATATTTATGATTAAATTTTAGATTTAGATTTTAATTTAAAGACAGCTTCGAAGCATGCATAGAAAACAACGTTTTAGAGAAGATAATTCAGATACTTAAATAGGACATTTTGTTTAGGAATTCAAAAATTACTTTCTTACCTTTCAAATGACCCATTACAATAAATACATCCTTAATAAGTCAATACGTAACCCTTTCATTGTAACAATGAAGTGAAATATATAGCATATAGGGTTGTAAGTATGCTTTATTTTATCACTTTGTACTTCGATGACTTGACTGTGGTTCTTCTACAGCAGTTGGTTAGATATAAGAAGATGTGGTATGAGTGACAATGAGACAACTCTCCATCCAAGTCAAAATTTATAAAAGTAAACCATTATAGGTCAAAATACGGAGACTTGGCTCACACCGAACAGCAAGCTATAAAGGGCCCCAAACATTACTACTGTAAAACCATTCAAACGGGAAAACCAACGGTCTAATCTATATAAAAAACGAGAAACGAGAAACACTTATGAACCACATCAACAAACGACAACTACTAAACATCAGATTCCTGACTTAGGACAGGTGCAAACAATTGCAGCGGGATTAAACGTTTTAATGGTACCAAACATTCACCCTTATCTGAAACAATAGTGTAACTGTGAGCCAAAATTTGTTCCTGTGAAAAAAGTTCCAGTGGAACTTATATCACAGGAAATATGTTCTGGGTGAACTTTTTTCACAGATAGTTTCTATATAATTTGTTCCATCTCTATAAAATAAGTTCCACACTTTACCTGGTGAAATAAGTTCTGGATTTGGTGAAATGTGTTCCTTATTTAGTGAAATAAGTTCCGGGTTTGTGAGATTTGTTCCTTACCTGGTGAAATAAGTTCTGGGTTTGTGAGATTTGTTCCTCACCTGGTGAAATAAGTTCCTTGTCTGTGAAATGTGTTCCACTGGTTAAACAAGTTATCTTATATACTGAGCATTTGTCACCAGTGAGTTTAAAGTTATCATTCAAGTACTGTATAAAAACATGTATTATATATTGATAATGTAATAAATCAAAAGTGTAAAATCCAATTTGGATCCTGTGAAGTATAGCAAATGTTTAATAAAATATCAAAATGACACTTAAGAACCAGAAAAGAGTAGAATAAGAAAAATCATTCAGAAAACAAGAATGTGTCCATAGTACACGGATACCCCATCCGCACTGTCATTTTCTATGTTCATTGGACCGTGAAATGGGGTAAAATCTCTAATTTGGCATTAAAATTAGAAAGATCATTTATTTATTTTATTACATAGCTTTTATATAGCGCCTATCTAATAAACATAATACTCTAAGCGCTTAACATATAAAATTGAAGGAAAATATTATCACAATGCATACAATAATAGCAAAAATATATATATATATATATATGAACATAAGAATGAAACAGAAATTAAATAGAATAATGATGTAAATTAAAAGCATTGAAAGGGGAATTATATATCACAATGAATACCATAAAAACATATTAGAATATAACAGACAACCAAAATTAACTAAAATAATGATGAAAATTATAAGTATTTACATTCCCTGTGGTATATACACAAGTAAAACCTATAAAAATTTGCATTAAAGGATTTATTCACTTAGCTAAGAGAAAATATAAGGTAGAAATTTAACCAGTAAAACACAGAGAAAAATAAATAAAACAGTCTCTTGAATAAAAACTTTAAAACTAAAAATTAAAAATTTAAATAAAATAAAAATAAAAAGGCCCTATCACTTAAACTGTTAGAATAATAAATAAATATCATAGGTCTTACACATCACAGTACGCCAGTCTAAAAATATGTGTCTTTAAACCTTTTTTAAAACGAGGAAGCGATTGTTCTTTCCGTAAATGAATTGGTAGGTCATTCCACAATGTAGCTCCAGCTCGGTCGAATCGCCTTTCACCGTATGTTTTAGTGCGGACATCTCTTGGTTTCGTTATGAGTCCTTCATTTTCTGACCGAAGTGTTCTAATAGGAGCGTATGGTACAATCAGTTCTTCCAAATATTTAGGTGCTTTATCGTGTAATGCCTTAAAAACGTAAAGTAAAAGTTTAGAATGTGATCGGTATTGCACGGGGAGCCAATGCAGCTGCATCAGAACAGGTGTTATGGAGTCAAACTTCCTTTTTCTTGTGATAAGTCTAGCTGCTGTGTTTTGAACGCGTTGCAGTCTTGCTATAGTGGAAGAGTTTACATTATATAACAAAGTGTTCCCATAGTCTAATCTGGAGGTGACAAGAGAGCAGACTAGTGTCTTACACGCATTTTCAGTGATATATGATCTAATGTTTCCGATGGTTCGAATCTGGTGGTAACATGATTTTGAGACGGCTGTTACCTGCTGTTCCATACTCAAGGTCTTATCAAAGAACACTCCCAGGTTCCTAACACAGTTCGCATCACTTAAAATAGTGCCATCATAGGGAACATGTGTACTAAGTTTCAAGTTGATTGGACTTCAACTTCATCAAAAACTACCTCGACCAAAAACTTTAACCTGAAGCGGTACAGACGGACGGACGAACGAACGGACGGACGAATGGACGGACGAACGAACGGATGAACGAACGGACGCACAGACCAGAAAACATAATGCCCATAAATGGGACATAAAAAAGTATAGTGAAAGATGAACATTTTTACTAATTTAAAAAGGACAAAGTGACTGATCAATTATATTAAAAGCCATGAAGAAACAAAAGACACTCTTTTGAAACTGTACATGTGCCATGACATAAGTACCTGAATGACTAGAACATCCATGACAGTTAACAGGAAGCAAGAAGGAATACCACATAAAACATAAAAACAAATTATGATACATTTCCGATGCCTTTTTTTCTTTTCTTCGTCCTATAGTTACACTAATGCCTTCAATTGCAAATGTACCCCTTTATTTCACTTTTTTGAAACTTTTAACATTGGAACAAAACTCATGGAGCTGTAAATTTTGCTCTGGAACTTATTTCACATTTGGTAAAAAAAATTAGTTCCGGAACAAATTTTACAGTGATGGAACATATTTTCTGTGATATAAATTCCGGTGGAACATATTTCCTATGACATTTGTTCCGGTGGAACAAATGTCACGCCGGAACACATTTTTTGTTACATAACATCACAACATAGAAAGACACACTATAAAATATCAATTGAAATGGCTTAACTCAATCAAAAGACATATTAACACCAGTGAACATACACTGAACAAATAAATTTGATCTATGATACAATGTAAATACAAAATAAATAAACTAAGGGAAGAATTTTTAAAGTAACATGTTATACCGCTGTGAAATGTTAAACAATTTAAGAAAAACAATATGCTTGAACAAAAATATCAGCCATTTGCAATTACATTAAACACAAGGTAAATGAAAATAATACGTTTGGTTTTATGAAACAAATTGTATGTTAAAAATTTTAAATGAACGGGAAGGTGAAGAGCAACACTAACTTTCAAGTCACAGTAACATAATGTTATACATGTCATACACATGTTTATTGTTGTTTAGTTTTCATTCATCCAGTCGTTGTTCATTGGGCTTGGGATGACGAAGGATGGTTACAAACAGTTCATTTACGGGACAAAGAAGATGTAGTTTTCAAGGTCAGACTTATTGTTTCGAAGTAGGCAGATCTTTTGATCACATTCATATATATTAAATTAAGACAAAACAGGGACAATTAATGAGAAGAGTTAAATAAAAAGAAAAATCAATAGGAACATTCGCCAAAAGTTTTATAGAAAAAGTGACAATTCCGATAGCCGTTAGAATAACATCAGAACACGGCTGGAAGTGTCGAAAATCACTTTGTGGCCACTTGAAATAGTCGGACCACCCAAATTAAAATTTAATATTCCCGTCTTTATGTATCTGTTTACTATCGTACAAATCCTAGTGAGATGATGATGAAGAACATGTCTCAGTCTTTAGTTTTCTATGTTGTGTTTTGTATACTGTTGTTTGTCTATTGACCGCTTTCTCTTTTCGCCATGGCATTGCCAGTTTGATTTTGACTTAGATAAGATTAGATAAGATAAGATATTTTATTGGTTTAAAATAAAATATTACAGGATTGTTACAAAAAGACAATACACATTGGCTATACATAAACATACAAACACCTATCTGTCCACATTTATAAACATTGTATATATAAATTTGTAGATACCCTCCATTATTAAAATAGAAAATATTGTTAAATAATATATATATCAAAGTACGGCCTTCAACACGGAGCCTTGGCTCACACCGAACAGCAAGCTATAAAGGGCCCCAAAATGACTGGTGAAAAACAATGTAAACAGAAAAACCAACGGTCTAATTTATATAAAAAACGAGAAACGAGAAACACCTATGAACCACACTAACAAACGACAACCACTGAACAACAGGCTCCTGACTTTAGGACAGGTAAATAAAAATGCAGCGGGTTTAAACTAGTTAGCTGGCGCCAAACCCTCCCTCTAACCTGGAACAGTGGTACAATAGCACAACACAAGAACACACTATACAAAACAATAAACGAAAAACAAATATGATAAACAGCAACAAACAACAACCATCATTCAATTACAGGCTCCTGACTTGGGACAGGCACATATAGAATGTGGCGGGGTTCATGCTTGTATGTTTTTGTGAGTTTATACTGGCAAGCATCACTCATCTATATTATGTTAGTTCATTGTCCTATTGTACACTCATCGTGCCTGAGGTAAAAAAAATATTGTGTCTTGTTATTTATTGTTTTAATAAGCTGCAGTTCAACAAGAGTTGACTGATGCTTAATCAAGTAACTGAATGTGCACAGTAAGGTGTCAATAAATTTTTCACATTCACCCAATCAGTTTGGTTAAAGAGTCCTAAATTTTGTCAAGGTAAATGGCATGCAGCCAAAACTCATATTTTATGAAAAGTATAAACTGACCGCTCAATTTTTGAAATGTAGACAACTATTTTCTATGTTATTGTACCAACCAACTTGACTAGTAGAATTGTAATATGAATGATATCAAAGTTTTCAAGTCGCCTTAAAGAAATAATGAGACAGACAATTATCAATTTGAGCCAATGATTGGTCGGATTGTCATTGAAGGCTGACGGTTTATTCTGGCTAAATTTTGTTCCCATACAATTAGAACTATTATTCATTATGCTATTGTATATAAATATCATTCAATTGAAAATGACCCACAAGAAAAAGACAAAACGTCTTAACAAATTTTATTACTCAAAATCTAAAACCGAACGTCTCCATAATTTCTGCAGGACATTGGAGGAAGCTGTGTTGTACATATATCTGGGGGAGTTTCTGGATTTGTTGGCGCATTACTTTGTAAGCCACGGCAAGAAAGGACCAGACAAGTGTCTGCCTTTAAAGTTTTGCATTCGCATTCAGCTCCGGTAGGTGGAAAAAGTTTCGATATTTGTGATTTAAGTATGAAATTATTAAATACATGTACTCTTTTTCTAAATTACCATACATATGAGATTACAATGTTTTAATTTATTTGTTTGCACCATTATTCTGAAATTTAAAATACTTATTTTGCATACCTGTAAATATTCATGTTGATTTTCTTAATTTTTAATCCTTGACCAAGAACAGTGTTAGCCTTACTTGGGTCAGTGTTATTGAATCATATATATAAAGTACAGTTTTATCGGTTTTTTTTTAAAGTAAATCTAATGAGGCAATCAAATGTGTTTTTCTAAATAATTAATGACCAGATATACCTTTCTAAGGAAATACTGTTCAAGTAATAATTATTCCTAATATCTTTTTGATATATTGTAGATGACAGGCTTTGGTGGTCTAGTTATATACTGTGGTTTGATAACATTACAGCTAACCAGAGTCATTGCAACCAATAGTCAGGCCAATACAGAATTATTAGCTATTGTTATCATCAATAATTTTCTCGCTAGCTTAGGATCTACATTTGTGGTTTTTCTTCTGGCTTGTGCTTTAAATAACCTGAATCAAAGTTCGGTAGGTACATCTGCCATTCCACAGATTATTGCCTACTAATAAGATTAACTGTATTACATGAACATATATATACATTGCGTATCAGCTTTATTAAAGAAATAAAGATGTGTTATGATAACCATACAATAAGACAAGTTCAACAGACGTGAAAGCACATATTAAACCATGCCTCGGCGCTTAAGCCTGACTGCCCAATTGTCTTTAATTTCATGTTCAGATATATTGATGATGAGTTTAAAACTTGGTATTCGATAAATCCCATGTTTTCGTACATAGTTGGTTATTTACATGACACGGTATCATAAAGAAAAGGCTGCGCTGGATTTACAAATGAGTGTTTTGCAAATCTAAAGTGCAGTGTTATGTCCTGTTCCTCAATAACCCACATTGTATCTGTCATATTCCAGTGAACTTATAAAGAAGACTTCCGAAACTAGAAGGTCAGCTTCATATCTTTCTTGAAATAGACACATATGGACGAATTCATACTAGGATCTATTATTCAGTTGTGTTATTGTCAACGTCCCATGTTTTAGTATTAACATACCCTCTGCCTCATCGTATGGCATCAGTTTTCATATCTCAATTGATACACTACGCACGTGTGTGTTCACATCATAAGGATTTCTTTAACAGGGGTGTTCTCTCATAAAATCTCCAACAGGTATCATTGAAAAGAACGACTGAATTTTCACAAGTTTCAAGTTTCAAGGTCATCATCACGAATTGGTTGGCCGATACAATATATCTGTATCTCAACCCATGAGACATGCTTTCCTGGTGTCAAATACCAGTATGGTCGTCTGATATTCAAATACCAGTATGGTCGTCTGATATTCAAATACCAGTATGGTCGTCTGATATTCAAATACCAGTATGGTCGTCTGATATTCAAATACCAGTATGGTCGTCTGATATTCAAATACCAGTATGGTCGTCTGATATTCAAATTTGCCGATTGTGTCCTATTCCCTATCGTGACATTTTCACTGAGTTTGAATTTCCATGACGGATGATGCATGTAAAGCAGGAGACGCTTATCCTGTCAATGTCGGTCTTGCTCTTTTTGGAGCTGATGAGATTCCTTCAATGTTTTACCTCGAGTGCGGGAGGTCGTGGGTTCGAAACCCGGCCGGGCCAAACCAAAGACTTTAAAATTGGTATTTGCTGCTTCACCGCTAAGCACGCGGCATTAAGGAGTAAGAGCAAAGACTGGTCGGCTCGGAGTCAGAATAATGTGTCCGGGTAAGGTGGCATGTCTTCCTGCGGACTGTTACCTTGTGAACTAGCACGTTAAAAATCCAGCTCAGTGTATGGGTCTAGTACAAAGCAGGGTTAATATTCATATTACATTAACATGTTATGTTCCCATCTAGAATATGCATATTAATTTGCCGCTGGACGTCAAGCAGCCAACCATCATCGACATCATCAATTTCTTATCGATTGAAAATGCAAATCAAATTAAAGGCAACAGTAGTGTGTCGATGTTCAAAGCTTATAAATCCATTAATATGATACAAATCAAGGTGAAAAAAGAAACAAACTGAGGGAATCTAAGAATGCGTCGACAGGGTGACAAGACCGAATGCGGCGACAGGGTGACAAGATCGAATGCGTGGACAGGGTAAGTGGATTAACGACTTTTGAACATCGGAATACTACTGGTCCCTCTTATATTGCAAAATAATATTTCCACAACAAGATTGACGCAAAGAAACCAACATTAGCAGATAACATGCTTGTTCTTATTAATACATGTATTTTGAAATAGTAAAAAATGTTAATTGTGGTCATCGTGAGTTTTTCATTAATATTGAGCATTTAAATCCCAGTAAGGATAAACAAATCTGTATTTCCCAGAAACACTGTCTAGTTTGGGAATTTTCATGTACTTGGAATGTCATAGCTCGTCTAAAAAGGAAAAAAAATCACATGACAGCCTGAATAAAAAAAATTTTTTTTTCAGTCTAAAAGTAAATTCCACTGGCCAATGATACAAGCTGTCGTCAATGCTGCTTTAGTTGGTAATGTGAGTATATTTAATTAAAGTTTTTATTCAGTACTGGTAAATAGTTGATCTCAGATAGTTGATTTGAGGTGTTTAAACAGTTTTTTTTCTTCATCCATTACCCATGACGGTTATTATAATAAATGTATATTCAAGTCATTGTTAACACACGAGTGAAACATTAACCTGTTTGTTTTTAAGTTTCATGATATAAAACATAGTTGTTTTGAATGAAATATTTTTTTCTCTCACTCGAATCCTAATTGCATATAAAGATCAAATTTCTATGTAAATATGGTAGTCTCTATAATGACAGACTGTATGAAGGCAACTGCTTCAAGACCTGTTTTGTACACAAGAATAAAACAACATACATAACTGATTTGAAGGTCGTATATTGTCGATCGGATGTTGCAATGGAAAAATATCCTATTGTGAAATAGAAAGTCCTTGTTTGGAATTTGTTCATAACGATTATATTGCCGTGACAGACTTGATATCTTTCAGTTTTAAAAAATAGTCTTAGATTTGGATTAATGAGAAAAATTACAAGAATGTAGAAATGCTTGCAGGTCTGAAATAAATAAAACAATCGTTTAAAGAACACATTTCACTACATCTTCAGATGGTTGCTCCATTATTTTTAAAATAAAATCAATATTTTGTGGTTTTTACCCCCAAATTATCAAAATTTGATGTCAGTAAAACATTGTTGAACCATCATTTTTTTCTAGGTTTCTGTTGCCGCAGGGTGTGATACTTACTACCCGTATATATCATTCGTTGTTGGTTTGATAGGAGGCCTTGTCTATATATTCTACAGTTTTGTGGTATATCTTTGTATGGTTGACGATCCAGCAGAGACATTTGCAGGTACTAGCAAACATCTTAACCATACATAAACGTCATAAGTAGTTAAATATAAAATAAGCAGAACCTATGAAATGGGAATTTGGAAGAACAAGAAAAAACAAATGCCATTGTTTGCCTTTTTTTTAAATTGGAACCAAGAACTAAGTCAAAGAAGAAGAATAATGAAATAATATTTTACGCTTGTAGAAATCTGGTGGCCCAATTTATTTGAATTATATATATATTTAATAGAGCGACTTTTGATAACAATGTTTGATTTTTACGTCTTGAATAATGTAAAAGATGTAAAATGTTAAAACAACTGTGTCAGAGTATTTTCGTTATATTACTTTATTAGTTGTATTGAAGTGGTTAGTTTCTATACCATTTCTATTTGTTTCGTCAAGATTCGAGCAACACGATTATTTCCAATATTTAGAAGATAATGATATTTAAAATTATTTCTTTTATGTTTTGAATGTAATTGTTTAGCATTCATTTCAGAATTAAAACAGGGGTCTTAACCTTTTTCATTGCAGTTCATTTTGGTCCAGGCTTTTGGGGAGTGCTGGCCACTGCTATTTTTTCCAGGACATATGGTGCAGCTTATCAAACTAATGTAAACGGGACTTATGAAGAGACACCATACCTTGTTAGTATAAATGCCTCAGTATTGTATATCATCATTCCAAAATAAGAACAAGTTGTTGATTATTTCAGCACAACCCAGAAATTATTTTATATACAAAAACAATTGTTCACGAAGTCGCAAAATTGGTCGTTTAATAAATCCCGAATCGTAAACTCGTGTCATAACTTAATAGAAAAGTTACTCAGCTGTAACACAAATAATTACTTTAAAATGTATATCATAGAATAAAGAGAATACTAGAAGTTGACAAATAACGAAAAGGTTTGTCTATGAATAATTATATTTTTCAGATATTTGCATGGAATTTAATTGGAGCGATAGTTGTAACGGCATGGTGTTTTGTGTTAGTTCTAATTGTTCTCCTGGTTGTGCTGTTAATTGGAAAACTGAGAGTTAAAAGGGATATAGAATGTGAAGGTAGTTGTACATTTATTCTTCGCATTCAAGCTTCTCTTTATTTTATTCAGAAAAATATACATTCATGCGAGATTGTAGAGTATTCTGTTTTATCTAAAAAATAATCTGATCAAACGTTCTGTAATGTCCTAGGCGTATTTTCTATTTCACCAAACGATGACTTGGGAATTTCATAGATGCGAAAAGGGGAAATCAAAACCCCACTAAAAGAAGAAAAAAAGAGAAATAAAAAAAAGCAGACCAGCTCTCAATTAACTACTTACCAATACTCACATGTAAACAAAACTAAAAACTAAAACTTAGGAAAGAAGAAACAAACTAGTTAACACGTTGATAATATATTCATATATTATTGAACTTGCACATGCTAGTAGCTTAATTTGTAAATTCTTTAAAATGGACTTTGACCAGGTGTTGATGCAGATGCTTTTCAAGAATTTGCTTATCCTATCGAGGCTTGGAAAAGAGCACCATATGAAGAAAAGTTCCAAATGGAGGACGATGGTAATTATAGATATATATTACATTTACTTAAATGAAAATCCGTATACTAGTAATACCCGATACAAATATTAGCCACTGCCAGATGGATCATTTTCGTTTATGTTAACTTTATTTTTCGGATGGAAATAGCATAATCATAGTAAAAATAATGTCAACACTGCACGATACACTCAGTATTAAGTTTTTGAACGTATGAAATATAGGAATGATTTATGTGAAAAAAGATTGTTTCAAAGACAAATTTAGGAAGTACAAAACACTACATTTATAGGTCATATCACAAATATTTCCGACTTTGTATGGTTTCAGAGGATTTGCGGCTCAATGAAATCGGTCTCTTCCATTAGTAGTATAGAAGTTTATTTAAAGGATCGATAAGTTTACCCGGATCGTATCTGAATTTCCGGGCTCGGTAAACAACATCTCCGTAAAAATTAGGATGTGCTTTCCAGTTTAAAATCAGTTTTCTACAGGAACAACCAAACTTCCAAGTATGGGTTTTCCGTCAGTTTTTTTTATATACGTAATCTAGCCTAAAAGCGATTAGACTTCATAAAAAATAGCATTTTAATTTAGTAATAATTAATTTTAACAAAATATGAGTATAATTCATTTTTGTCAATCATTTGTATTTATAATTCTTTCGAGTAAGGCATTTGAATGTCATGATTGTTCACTTCAATATAACATAAAGAATATTTTTTTATGTTATTTTCTTTCAGAGTCTGTCATTAGTGAGAAGCCACCGATGCCGCAATCTGATCATTACCGTAATTATTGTCGATATTGTCCAGAACATGATGGCCGTTATCGACCAGTACCTCATTACTGTCCAGAACACGACAATCGTTCTCGAACACCACCACCTAGGTACTGCCCAGAACACCATTTCCACTCATATCGTCCCAACTATTTTATGACACCACGAGCTAAACTAGCTAGACCTCCTTACGATAGCATATACAAAATATAGAAAACCTCTGATGTGACAAAATCAATGAATTACTGCAATATGCAACGAGTGCTGTATATATTTATACTTTTGTACTTTCATAAAAAAAAATATTATCATTTTGAATAAATAATGATATACAATGAATTAGATATCGTAATTATTTTTTATATTGATTCATTGACATTTGGTAGTCTATGTTTTTAGATCATCTCAACTCTTTGTCTTTAATAGTACGTAGTTTTTCGTCCGATTTTTATGCCTCCACCTATGATAGTAGTAGGGGCATTATCGTTCGCCCGTTTGTTCGTTCGTCCGTCCGTCTGTCCCGCTTCATGTTAAAGTTTTTGGTCAAGGTAGTTTTTGATGAAGTTGAAGTCCAATCAACTTGAAACTTAGTACACATTTTCCCTATGATATGATCTTTCTAATTTTAATGCCAAATTAGAGTTTTGACCCCAATTTCACGGTCCACTGAACATAGAAAATGATAGTGGGAGTGGGGCATCCGTGTACTATGGACACATTCTTGTTAAATCTTCTTTTACAACTAGATAGTCTGTTAACAAAAAAAAAAAGAGAAGATACCAATGGGGACAATCAAAAACCATAAATCGACAAAACACATATAGCGCCATGGAAACTGGAAGGATTGGAACCGAAAAACAACATACAACAGTCCACAAAACACTACGCAGAAAACAAACGATCGAGCAACACGAATCCCACAAATAACTGGGTTCCTGTTCCCCTAGTGCATAAGCCGAATGTTGTCCCTAAAAGTAAACATTTGCAGCGTATAAACTGGAATAAAATTAATAAAGGTGAATATCATAGATCAATGGAATTAAATTTGCAGTCAAAATAACTGAAATAGATAATCTTACTCTTGAAAACTTTGATGAATTTGTGATTTCTGCCTGTGAGATAATTATTCAAACAGCTGATACGCTCCAACCGCCTAATAGTAGAAAACGTGGGGAACAAGTGGAGAAAATAGTAGATATTGGACTCCGAATATGACGGAAATTTTAAATCGTAGTAAATTTCATTATTGGATGTGGAAACAAGAGGGAACATCAGATAAATCAAGCATTCATTATCAACAAATGAGAGTATTTATAAAGAAACTCAGATCAGAGCAAAGGAAAATAGAATCTGCTTAGAGACAGTCTAAATTTACTAAAATTATGTCGTTATCTGACAGAAATGATAAAAAATATCTATACTTTAATTAACAATCAGCGAAACATGCGCTCTTCCGTGACATCTATTCTCAAGTATGATAATAATATAATTAATACTGAGGAAGGAATTTTAGATACCTGAGCTTCATATTATGAAAATTTAGCCACACCTGTCGATAACCCGGACTTTGATTATACATATAAGCTTATTGTGGAACAGGAGATATCATTCTTGACTGATACTTATACTGACACTAGAGATGTTCTGGCCCCAGTCTCAGAAAGGGAGGGTGTACAAATTGTTAATTCACTTAAGAATGGAAAAGCACCTGACGCCTCTAGAGTAACCTGTGAACATCTAAAATTTGGTGGAAAAACTCTCTCTCACGTCTTAACATCTATCATAAAATTCTCATTTTCAAATCATCTTATACCAACTATATTTAAAAATTCGTAAAGGTTCCGCGGAACACACTGTCTCGCCTACTTTTGCTGTTAGTCGCAGGCTCAACAAAAATGGGGAAAAAAATATTAAAAAATTTCCTCTAGATACTATCTTTTGATTGTAAGAAGCTTCTATCCAAGTTTGGTAAAAATACAGGATGGTTTATGAATCTAATAAACGATTTAAAAACTTTATCTGCAGACTGTATGTAATGTTAACAGGAAGAAAAACTAAGTCCATTTATAAGTAATATACGGAAAAACAGGAAATAATTTTTTAGAAAATTTCCTTCTAGATACTAGCTTTTGATCATAAACAATCTTCTGTCCAAATTTGGTACAAATCCAGGATAGTTTAAGAAAGTTATAACAATTTTAAAAACTTTAACCACAGAGTGAATGAAATGTTAACTGGCAGAAAAACTAAGTCCATTTATAAGTAAAATACGGAAAAACAGGATTATTTTTTTACGAAATTTACTTCTATATACTATCTTATGATCATAAACAAGCTTCTGTCCAAGTTTGGTACAAATCCAGGATAGTTTACGAAAGTTAATAAAATTTCAAAAACTTTAACCACAGAGTGAATATTTGTGGACGCCGCCACCGTCGACGACGACGACGACGCCGACGACGGAATGTAGGATCGCTATGTCTCGCTTTTGCGACAATAGTCGCAGGCTCGACAAAAATGGACTTGCCTGTCCTGTTTATAAGAAAAAAGGGAAACCGAAAGAGGATCCTGGTTCCTATAGGAAAATAACTATTACTAATCCCATTGGGAAATTAACAGAAAAATTACATCTTGTCAGGAATAAGGACATTATTTGAAATATACAAAGTCCATTACAGAAAGACTTTACTCAAGGTGAAATACCACTGGTGGCTGCACTTATTCTTACCGAATTACATACTGAAGCTAAGGAGAAGGGGATCCACTCATTATTGCACTAACAGATGCCAAAAGCGCTTTTGATGTTGTCCGACACGATGGTCTTCTCTGAGAAATGAATAAAGCTGGCCTATGCGGCGACAATTGGCTTCTTTTCAAAGACTGGTATAAAGACCTGAACTCAAATATCAAATGGCAAGGACAAATGTCCAGAACATTCTTGGAATCTCAGGGCGTCAAAAGGGTGGTGTCTGGTCCCCAACTGCTTATAAGATTTTTATAAATTATCTTCTCACAACTCTCGAAACTTATCGTATTGGCTCTCATATTGGTTCTATCTACGTAGGAGTGCCGACCGTAGCAGATAATGTTACATTGTACCTTAGTATCAAATTTCCCGTACGAATTACAGACAATGTTGGATCTAAAAACTTTTCATGCAAATAAATTCCGTTATCTAATTAGTAGTAAAAAAATCTTGCATACTTAATTACAGATGTGTCGACTCTTACGACTGGTCCATCAATGGTGAACCTTTGGATACTTCAGAAAACGCTGTTCATCTTGGTATTCAACGTGATAAGCTCTCCCGTCTGGGTACAAAAGAAGTTGTCCCTGGTCGCATACAACTAGCCAGACAGACTGTTTACTCACTGATGGGTGCTGGACTGTATGGTCTAAACGCATTCAACCCAAAGGTCTCACTTCATCTTATCCGCTGCTATGTGATTCCCAGGCTTTTATACGGACTTGAGGTATTACTGCTTTCGAAAACAGATATTAGCAATCCTACAACATATTTTGTGAAGCTATTAAAACGTATCCAACATATACCGGACCGTACAGCAAATGCTGCAGTCCTTTTACTTATTGGGCAAATTCCAATTGAAGCGGAGATCCATACAAGAATTCTTGGTATTTTTAGAAACATTATTGATAACGATAACTCTATCGAACGTGATTTAGTCTTCCGTCAACTTGCAATGAAATCTGAGACATCAAACAGCTGGTTTCGTAAAATAGTTACTATCACAGAATTATATGATCTACCGTCACCTCAAGATCTACCTGTCAGTCCTCCTTCAAAGTCAAAATGGAAAAAACTGGTAAACACCTCTGTCAACTACTACTGGATAACTAAACTAAAATCTGAAGCGTCAGAAAAATCATCCACTAATCTCATGAACTTTGAAGATGCGGAATTTGGAAGCATTCATCTTATTTGGAATACATGTGGATCTGAACCTTACTCTACGTTACGTGTCTGCATCAAATCCAAATTAGCATGTAATACATATACTCTTCAGTGTGACAAGTCTACATTTAGTAAACGGCAAGTCAGTGCAATCTGTCCGTTATGTCGAATTGAAGAAGAGAATCGGTTTAGCGTTACATTTTGTTTTGAGATGTTTTACATTAGATAATGCTACAAACCACTTTATACTTTATACAAAGTCTAAAAACCTTCATAAAAGGTGTTGTATCAACTAAAGTATACGATGCACTATTTTGTTCTGAAATTAACACTTTACAGTTAATTATCGACTGCAGTGGATTTCATTTTCTGACAAGAGGTGAAATATTTACAGTGGAGTGCATCACCAGAGGACTATGTTTTAAGTTACATCAGGTGCGATCGACTCTATTGAGGTAGTACTAATTAAACAATTAGTTAAAGAAAATAAAGTGCCCAGCAGGGACAATGTTTATTTGAAATGGAGCAATTAACATTTACAGGTCAGCTGACTTTCGCTCCAGTTTCTGTCGTGTCTATATCAAGGGATGTTCTTATTTTCGTGTGTAAATAGAGGTGGTGGTTAATGTGTATAAAAGAATCAATTATAGTGCATTGGATTGATTGACAATTTAATGATATTCACACTTGGTCGTCTGATATAGGTGGAACAGTAAAGACTAAAGCTAACTCTAAAGCTGTACGCCTGCTACAATCCGTTGATGAAAGATAACTTGTTCCACCAGTGCAGACGTCGTTGTACTACTGCTACAATCCGTTGATGAAAGATAACTTGACGTCGTTGTACTCCTGCTACAATCCGTTGATGAAAGATTACTTGTTCCACTAGTGTAGACGTCGTTGTACTACTGCTACAATCCGTTGATGAAAGATAACTTGTTCCACTGGTGCAGACGTCGTTGTACTCCTGCTACAATCCGTTGATGAAAGATAACTTGTTCTACTGGTGCAGACGTCGTTGTACTCCTGCTACAATCCGTTGATGAAAGATTACTTGTTCCACTAGTGCAGACGTCGTTGTACTCCTGCTACAATCCGTTGATGAAAGATAACTTGTTCCACTGGTGCAGACGTCGTTGTACTCCTGCTACAATCCGTTGATGAAAGATAACTGGTTCCACTGGTGCAGACGTCGTTGTACTCCTGCTACAATCTGTTGATGAAAGATTACTTGTTCCACCAGTGCAGACGTCGTTGTACTCCTGCTACAATCCGTTGATGAAAGATAACTTGTTCCACTGGTGCAGACGTCGTTGTACTCCTGCTACAATCCGTTGATGAAAGATAACTTGTTCCACTGGTGCAGACGTCGTTGTACTCCTGCTACAATCCGTTGATGAAAGA